CACCTCTGCTGACTGGGCACCTTGCCTGTACTACTCATCGCCATGTTGTGGTTCTCTGCACTTAGACTACATAGGTGTCGACGGACGGATTGTGTTTGAGCTGTGTGGTCGCTGGCACGGACAGCCCCTAGTTTACTCATCGCTCTTAATCAGCGATCGACAAAACGTTATTTATTCCGCCCACGTTCGATTGTGTGCTGAGACTTATCAAGGCCCGGCGGTGTACTCGTACGCTTGCTACGTTTGTTTCTTTCATAATATAAATTTAAGTATCTTATGATATCTTCACAGCACTAAGTTGAGGGGATTTAACTAAGCAACGTTCTGAATCAGTTTTTATGATACATTATAAGTTCCTGTCATAGTCGAACACGTCCCTTGCGACGAAGGGTTCGACGAGTAAATTAACCCACAGACACAGCTCACTGAGTTTCTCGCCGGATCTTCTCCAGTGGGTCGCGTTTCCAATCCGTTAATAGATTCTGCGAAGCATGGCTCTTGCTAGGGTTCGTGTTAGCAACGTCGTCAGGCTTGAGCACCGTGTGCTCACCTACTAATTAAGGTTACGCTGATATGGTCTCTCTAGACTATCAGCTTAGGTAGGAAAAAAACGGGAGGATCCGTAATGACGTGTTTAGGGCGACGTCGACTGCTTACCCTTCGGTCCAGAGGATCGGGTATGTATCAGTAGCAGTAGTAATAGCCCTAGTACTAGCAATGCTTTGCAGAATCTATCACCGTATCGAGATCGTTATCCACTGAGAAGATGCAGCAGGAAACTCAGTGGGCTTGTGCCTATTGTCATTGACTATTAACTTTGTCACCGGCTAAACTTTACAGCAGACAAAAGTATATAACAGAATTAAGAAGTCACAATAACACGATTGGGACTTCAACCTCATATCTCAAGGTGGGTGGCGGTCGTGTATCTGCGCTCGGAATACTATGTACGTAACAGCAAGTGGCCGTGTAGGTACGTTTATGCAGTAAAAAATAATGTTCCGGGTTCAAGACATAGGATACGTACTACGTATTATAATATAATTTCAGTTTTTTCGAACACCACAGAACATAGGTAACGCAGCCGCTGCTAGAAATGTACCGACGTTATCAAAGACCTAGATAACGCTATTGTTATTTAGGGAAACCATCCCTTGGGAAGGTTGATACTTTGCGAGGTTCTGTTAACACAATGATGTGCGTGTTACCGAAGCGAATCTCTTTACATAATGCAAAACTATACAGAGTCATAGTTACATACGTACGTTATAGTGAAAGTGATCGGCTCAGATGCGTGGAAACTGAAAGTGGACTAATAGGAAATCAGATAGTTCCGGCGTTGATTGCGCTACAGCATGTTCACAACATTCATTTCTGAAAGCTATCAGGTGATGGAACAGGAGTCTCTGACTTGGCCGTTATGTAGTCTAATGTGCACTTACAAAGATTATACTTTTTATCACATACCATTCGGCTTTAGAATAAACCCCTCTCCGCGGTGTTCCTGAGCGCTATGGTCATTTTATTATTTCCGACGTTTGGATTATATTAGTATTCAGAGTTGACAACTGAACAAATTACTGTAGGTACTTGGCAATATCAATTAATATCAGGCAGTTACAATCTAAAAAAACTATAGATTTGTCTGTGAACCACAAAGATTATGAAGTATTCAAAACTTCGGAGACATTGAAATGTAAATACCAAATGCAAGACTAAACAGTAATTTTAATTTATATAAAACTAGCGGCACGCTTCGGCTGCGGCTCCGCTCGGGTCTTTAACAAAAATTTCAACGATATTTGACGTTGTTTTATTTTTTAAAATAAAAGTACACTTATTGCGACACAACTATAATAGTTAGACATATGCTGTCCCGACACTTTATGTAAATAGTAATGTGTTCTACAAGTCTTAGTACATTATTTTATTCTATCATCAATAGTTTTCGCAGCGCACGCGATATAAAGAATATTTTAGGTAATATTTTTACACCTTGGGCTACATTATTGGAGTTTTAGTAAGGATCCCTAATTTTTTTTCAAAAAAGATTATATCCTATGTCACTCGGGAATAGTGTAGCTTCCAAGCAGTGATATAATTTTTCAAATCGGTTCAGTAGTTTCGGAGCCTATTCAATACAAACAAACAAACAAATCTTTCCTCTTTATAATATTATTATATTATAGTATAGAAGATGTGTTACACGCCATTGAGATCACAATATGATAACGGCACTCTTGATAGATGTTACTTAGGTTACAGTGAAATCCGATTAAAATTATTTTAACATTGACACAACAATTTAATTGGAATTTTTTCTTTAAGTTCTCTATCAAATTATTGACTTTGTAATTTATCACGCTTCAAGTTCAATGTCCTATGTTCGTAATCCTGTACGTCTCTCACGTATTAAAACAGAAAGAGATAGATTTTTTGACTTTCCTCACGACCTGGTGATAACCTCACAGCATTGGCATCGTTGCATTCATTGAAATGTTGATTGTTGATGATTATTTTATATATTACGATACGATTTTTAAGTGTCGTGTATTCAGTTCTATGTAAGGTAGTTTTTTTGATTTCTTTTTTATATAGTTTTATTATGAATAAATTAGTAAAACGATACCAATGTGATCGTCTATATTGCGGATAGCCAGTCATCGTGAATCATAATTATTGAAAATGAATGCAGGCAGAGACAGATAATATCTTATCGATAGTTTGCGATAAATGATTGTCGCGTAGTGTAAGAGTGGAGTCGTGGGTTGCGTGGCGGTAGCGGGTGACGTGTGTAGAAAGGCCCGGCCGCGTGGAGCGCCACGCCGACACCCGCCGACACCCGCGCTCACTCAGTCGCCATGGCACGCTCGAGGCAGACGCCGCGATTCACTTCCCAAGCAGACCTGCCGCCCCGTGGACCAGGTATTCACACAAACCGTACCTCTAACAACCTAAACATCACAGTGGATATATTCAAATACATCCGTGGATCCAAAATACGTGAAAAAATTAGTCGTTTCCGTAAAACTATCGTAATGTAACAGATGTGTCTTGTTCCTCGTAGTGTACCAGTTTATCGCAACAAACTACAGCCTAGAGTAATGTTTAGGTATAAATCTAATTAACAAAATTCAATGTACTTCCAGTATTTTTTCTGATGTTCCTTAAAAAGCGTGTGCTTCCCGAGCCTAGCGTCCTTCCTAAAGTCTGCTCAAGTTGAAATGTAAGCGTAAGCACCTATATTATAAAACGAGGTGTGTCAATGGCCCAGTGCAGTGCAGTCAGCGGCAGTCAGTGCAGTCGGATCGATCAAGTCGCAGCTTCAAACTGTGCACGTACACTTTCGGTCTTATTAAGTCATTTGGACGTAACTTGAATGTTTGCCGTTCGCGAGTGCTAGTAGCCGGTAGACCCTTTGTTCAAACTAATGGTAAGAGTGAAGTTTGCGTATAAATAATTCGAAATGAAAACTCGATTGCTACTTAATTATTTTGTTACAATTCAGTACCTATACAATTAAAAATCACGAAAACGCAGTTGCTTGCAGAGACAGAAGGTGTCTGTCTTCAAATAACTATCTTATCTTAGTTTTTTTTATTTATTTATTAATATAATAAATAAAATATATATTTAATATTATATTACTAGCTCAATGACAGTCGCGGTAGAATATGTAAGAGATAAAATGAAAGCGTTGATATAATATAACGGTGTTGCGGAACTAAACGGTCGTGACTTCGTTTATATGAAACGAACAAAATTAAATGTTTGTGTCAAATAGTATCGCTCACCTGCTGCCGATCGGCTTGTGTTCGTTATTAATCGACTTTGTCTCAGTAGTTGAAACACACAAGAGCTTTACGTCCGAAACACGCGGCCAGTGACACCCGCCGTCACCCGCTACCAGCAACCCGTATTAAAGCATCGATGACGTCACTGTATAGTCTGTACGTAGACTGCTGTACTGGAATGCATCCGAACACAACAGGCTACTCCTGAGAACGCGGTCAAAAATACAAACGCTCTGCGTTTAATCATAATGTTCAGCAGAGCATAATTAGTATTTGTGAGTTAGTTGTGCAAGAGGATGCTGGCCTTCTCCACGTTTCATGTTCAAAACTCGTTCAGTTAGTCTTCCTGCCCCGGACTGCTATGACCATACTGACATCAATATCGATACTGAGGTCGGAGTCGTGGGAGTCTGCCTCGCTGGACGTCGTCGAGCACGGGGCGTGCCGCGACTGTCGCAAACCAAGTGCTAGTTGCTCTCACACGGTACGGTAGTGTAACCATGTTTGCATTGGTCGATGTGATTATAACAAAACAGTGAATGAATAAATTCGAAAGTACATCCAACATCCAAGGACATCCTTCCTTAACGCATCTTGAACTTAAAAAATGAAGTCGTCTAAATGTCAATTAGAATTTGAATTTTTGCTTATATCTTTTATTAATTATGCTAATCTAGTATTTCGTCATCAACCTTGTTTCCGTATGTAAAATAATTTAATTTAGCTGGTTGCAGATGGATGCATATTGCCTATCTCATAATATGGTGTTTGTTCTGCAGCATCCTACGGATAATTTATAAATTTATAATTTGATACATATACATATCTGTGTAGTGCGAGTTTTTTTAACTTGGATTTGGAACAGGGACGCCCTTCGTTTGCCGCTAGTGGTGCTGTTCCAACTCCAATTGAGAAGTTAAAAAAATTGCACTAAGCACACTGTAACCGAGTACATTGTTTGAATTCATATAGGATTTGGCGCAAAAGGTCCCCTATTGCTGCCTGTGTGATGGTGATTAATGCTAAGAGCTCGCCGGTGTCCCATAAACACAGCATATTTTTCTAACGACATCGCAAAGTATGTCTCTTTAGCGACATAACAGACATGTTGAGGGTATTAGTAAACTATGTTCCAATGTGAGGTGTACTGAGTAGTGAGAGTGAGTAGTGAGACATGGCACGAGTGTGACGGTTCGTTTTCCTCAGTGGAGTCGTTGATCTACTGGCGGAACGCGGCACGCTCTGGCGCGGCCCTGGGCGCGGGGCTGGCGCTGCTGGTGGCGCTGGCGTGCTGCTCGGTGGTGTCGGTGCTCGCCTACGTGTCGCTGCTGGCGCTCAGCGCCGCCGTCGCCTTCCGCCTCTACAAGAACGTGCTGCAGGCCGTTCAGAAGACCAACGATGGACATCCCTTCAAGTGAGTGTAACAACTTCACTTCCTCCCCACCACCAGGAACTAACGACGTTATCGTGTGTTATTATTGCCTTTATGGATCCCTATGGAAGTAACTCGGAGCGTCGCGACGCTTTTGCTAGCACAATTCCATACAGATTTATGCAAATTATTGTGTTGGGAACGTTTCTTCTGGTGCTCTCTCAGTACCTCGATAGGAGTAATGTGTGCGGGAAAACTATATTCAAGTATTCGAATTAAAAATACATTTAAAGAGTGTATGTACTATGGACAGGCTCGCGGTGCTGCCGAGTCCCTGCTTACGCTGACTTTCTCACCGTGAGCTCACATAAACATACTTCTCGTTATTGCAAATATATAATGAAGTTATAATATAATCTTGAGATTGTTCATATTATTATGTTTGTGTGGCCGTTAACGAATGGAGTAGCGAGTCGATGATTATAGATATGTAACGTAACGTGGTGCTTCACAACTACCTGTCTCGGCTCACGGCTCACGGCTCGGTACTTCTCAATTACATATCCGATCGATAGCAGCGCGGCGACCGGCGGCCGTCTGCTCCGTGTGTCCCACATGTATAACTGTATAGAACACATATGTATAATACACATGTAGGTACACCTTAATACAACAAACAGTCAGGTCGGGTTATTTATTTGAAAACAGTCCCTTAATTATGATGTACAAAATTAAAACAAACTCGACAAATTCGCGTTTTTTTTTCCGCATATATTTCTGAATTCAGGCAGTTGTTGAGCCATGATTGAGGAATATAAAGGTATGAACTGGAGAAACGAAAACAAAATGAAATATGACTTGTGACTAATGAAATAGAAAATAATACACATTAATAATACCTACATGGTATCATAAATAGTTGCGAGAACGTCAGACGATTAAATAACTGTGTGTATCGGTCAGTTCCGACTCCAGGAATACTAACGATGACGCACGCACCACTCGAACGGAACCAAACTCCCTGCCCGCCGAATGTCAGTGGCAGCTTTATTTTTTTATTTTTTTGCTGACCCGGAAGACTTTGTTATGCCTCAATCGATAAATAAAAGACCTAAACTTTTGTATAAAATAAACTTAAAACAAACAAAAGGAATCCGTCTGACGGGGGGACACATCAAAGGAAAAACAAAATTGTTATTTTTATTTAATTTCGAGCATTTTCATATTTACCTTTTAAACCTTCTCTGGACTGCCACAAATAATTCAAGACCAAAATTAACCAAATCGGTCCAGCCCTTCTCGAGTTTTAGCGAGACTAACGAACAGCAATTCATTTTTATATATATAGATTGTTTAGGTGGGTGGACGAGCTCACGGCTCACGCAATGTTAAGTGGTTACCGAATCCCATAGACGTCTACAGGGTAAATGCCACCACCCATGTTGAGATATGAGTTCTAAGGTCTCAGTTTTTACAGTAAAATGGTTGCCCCACTCTTCAAACCGAAACGTATTACTGCTTCACGGTAGAAATAGACGAGGTGGTGGTACCTACCCGTGCGGACTCACAAGACGTCCTACCACTATTAATTACACAAATTATAATTTTGAGGGCTTGATTTTTATTACACGATGTTATTTTTTCACCGTGGAAGTCAATCGTGAATATTTTTTAAGTACGTATTTCATTAGAAAAGATTGTATGTATCCGCCTGCGGAATTCGAACATCGGTGCATCGCTCAACACGAATGCACCGGACGTCTTATCCTTTAGGCCACGACGACTTCCCGTTAGTTGGCCTGCGTGCTGACTTGTTGAGTATATTAGTGGCGCGAGTTTCTAGTTCACCTCACACACCCCGCGGCGCATGTCGCGTCCCGCACACAGGAACTGACTGAGCACTAACGGTGTCGGTGGTGTGGCTTCCAGGTGGCTGCTGGAGGCGGAGGTGAGCGTGTCGGCGGAGCGCGCGCAGGCGCTGGCCGCCGCCGCCACCGCGCACCTCAACGCCGCCCTGTATGAGCTGCGCAGGTACACACCCACGCCACGTGGGGATCAACCCTCAGGAAGATCCTACCACAGCATTCCTCACTCTTTCATTTTATTGTAGTCAGTAGTCTACATACTATCCGTCACGTCTGAGGAATTGTTCGAGATGATACCGGCATCTCGTTTTTACCATCGCACCGCCCGCCACCGGAGTAGAGTTCATCCATACTACCTGGAGCCACTGCGGTCATCCACAGTGCGTTTATAAATATACTTTTTGCCACGTACCATCCGGCTATGGAATGAGCTCCCCTCCACGGTGTTTCCCGAGCGCTATGACATGTCCTTCTTCAAACGAGGCTTGTGGAGAGTATTTAGCGGTAGGCAGCGGTTTGGATCTGCCCCTGGCATTGCTGAAGTCCATGGGCGACGGTAACCACTCACTATCAAGTGGGTCGTGTGCTCGTCTGCGTACAAGGGCAATAAAAAAAAAAGCGGTTACTGTTATTTCGACTGTCGATCTGCCGTAGTTTGTCTACACTAGGCACAGAATATTTTATCCCGCCTGCGTCCCTTGAGAATTTGTTGTTATTTGAACCGGCACTTGTAATGGCTCCGAAGATGAGAGTAGTTTGTACAGCGTGGTTGCGTCCCGCGTGTCCGCAGACTGTTCCTGGTGGAGGACCTGGTGGACTCGCTGAAGTTCGGCGTGCTGCTGTGGTGCCTCACGTACGTGGGGGCGTGCTTCAACGGGATCACGCTCATCATCCTCGGTAGGTGCCGCTGCCCGCCAGCACCACAAGGGACCTCCGACGCACTCCCTGTCCCACAACTCAACTAAAGCACATATATTATTATTATATTATTGCTTAACTAAGCGATGTGGATTTTTACTATTTATCTGGAACTGATATAACTCGACTCCACGCACTGTACCGGGGTGTCGTTGAACTTTGGGACACGGAGTACCTAAGGGGAAACTATATATATATATATATATATATATATATATATATCGGCGCAACGTTACTATTTAGTTAACTAAAATTAGTTGAAGTTAACCATGTCCTTGATATTGACATAGTTTGTGGACTATTGTAACTTTAACGCGTGTAAACAATTATTTAAGACGGTGTTCATAACAATTCATGACTAAGCTACCCCTACTTTCTACATAAATACGATTGACTATTGTCGGTCACCGTCCTCGTCGAACCCGTCGCTTGCGACGAAGGGCTCGACGAGTGAATTAACCCATAGATACAGCCCACTGAGTTTCTCGCCAGAACTTCTCAGTGGGTCGCGTTTCCGATGCAGTGGTGGATTCTGCGTAGCACTGCTCTTGCTAGTGCCAGTGTTAGCAACACTCCCGGCTTGAGCCCCTTAAGCTTACCTACACGCCAAGTGAAATAGTTTCTCAAGGCTATCAGCAAAGGTAGGAGAAAAAAACGCACAAAGCATTCCGGCCCGAGCAGCCGAACGGAGTGGAGCTCGCTGCTGTTATCGTTGTACATTTAAAGGTAATAAATAGAATTCATTGGAAAAGTGAGTCTTAATTACTGACACTAAGGAAGGTAATGATAATTATGACGTCATCATTTTAAAAACACTATGGAACTAGTCTCCGTCATATACCTGAGAACGCGCGCGTACTGTTGCAGGTTGGATAGCGCTGTTCACGCTGCCGAAGGCCTACGAGATGAACAAGGCGCAGGTGGACGCCAACCTCGAGCTGGCGCGCGCCAAGATCAACGAGATCACCGCCAAGTGAGTACCCGCAGCGACAAACTGTACTTGTTCATCTAAGTGTTCAAGTCGTCGTGACCTAAAAGATAAGACGCCCGGTGCATTCGTATCTAGCGATGCAACGATGTTCGGAGCCCGCAGGCGGATACTAATTTTTCTAATGAAATACGTAGGAACTCAACAAATGTTCACGATTGACTTCCACGATGAAGGAATAACATCGTGTAATAAAAATCAAACCCGCAAAATTGTAATTTGCGTAATTACTGGTGGTAGGACCTCTTGTGAGTCCGCACGGGTGGGTACCACCGCTCGGCCTATTTCCGCCGACCGTCCGTGCTCTGCGGCGGGCTGGTACATGGTGCTGACCGAGGGCTCGTGTTGCAGGGTGCGCGCCGCGGTGCCGCTGGGCAGGAGGGCGGAGGGCGACAAGGACAAGTAGACGCCGCTCCGCGCTGTTATTTATTAACTACATTACTACTTTACGTGTAAAGCTTTATGAGAGTCATGCGGAGATTATTGTATTTGCTTTTTGAAATTTTAAATTAAATAAAATAATTGTCGAAACGTTGCGTTTTATTTTTGTTTGTCGGAGACGACCAGGGGCTCGGCTTGGGATGGAATCCGACGAGGAAAATGTGTTCTTGTTTATCTAGTAGCTTTCCGCAGACAGCTGCGCTGCGTGGACTCGTTCGTGGGCTTATATCACGTGGTCGAAGGCCTTGGTCTGGCAGTGAGATGTGAGGAAGCTTGAAATGGTCGTGGTCTAAAAGGAAAATTGTCCCATTTTCTACATGATTCAAGTCCCGCGGACAGGCACCAATTTATCTAACAAAATACGTACGTACTTAACTCATGTTCACGAAAGACTTCCACGATGAAGGAAAACATCCTGAATTAAAATCAAACCAAAAATGCACTATTTGTGTAATTACTGATGTAGGAGCCCGCACGGGTAGGTACCACTAACCTGACTGTTTATACCGCAAAGCTTAATGCGGTCCGGTTGAAACACTTCAGTATGACAGCCGATGTACTATAAAATGAATACTCAGACCACGTATCTCAAGGTGCAAGGCGGCGCGACGGCGTTTGTGTAGTCTATGGACTTCAGTAACCACTGAACGCCAGATGGGTCGTGAACTTGTTCTCCCATCTAAGCTGTAAAAATTGGAGGTAACCTATTTTTTCCCAGAGCTCTAACTATTTACGTAGGTAGGTAGTACCGTTTGGTCATAATCAGCTGAGTTTCGGCGCGAAAAATTACAAACTTCTAAATGACTACCTATAAGTTTTCCTAACAACATTCGTTTGTAATTAAATTAAAGCCTATATTTTGCTCCAAATTATTAATAATGACATAAAAGTCACTTCTTGCCTTTTAGTATATTAATACTTTAATAAGTAATATTTGTTATTAATCTTTGAACTAGCTTATGAGGTAAAAAAGTCAAGGTTCTTTCAAAAACCAAGCCAAATTTTAATTTAACCGAGCTAACTCCCAATTACTTACCCAACATCTAAAAACCTAATGAAATTGAAAATAACTTTCAATCTTGTCATTCGTATTGGAAAATTCCGTCATCGCTATCGTCATGTCAAAAGTCTAGAACTCTGTTTCTTTTATTTTCATAGCTCGCTTCTTTATTTGCTTTGATATTACCTATCTATCTCTCACTCTCACGCATCATCAATTTCTCTCTGTTTGTACTCTTTTGAATTTCAGTAAGTATGACCTATTTGAAGATGATCTCTCAAACTGATGGATGGCACAGAACGTGTTGTTGAAAAACTATTGCATATCAGGTACTCCTTGTTTGTGTTGTGGTATTGTATTCGCAACAAGGAAACATTGAAATATATTAGTATTGATGACTTCATAAGAATAAATCTCATACTGTCTTATTGGACATGACTACAAATAACATTATTATCACACAGATAATAAATGTCAATGTCGTTTCTTGTCTTAATGCAATTTTATATAAATATAAGAGTAAAGACTAAGGCAGGCTCAGAATGTTTCTAATACGGCCACGTCGCCGATAACATCGACGATCAACTTATTTGCCGTCTGTTCAAGATCAGAACCAAGTTCACGTGGCGCCCCATTGCCGGGTCCAGCTTCTGAAAGTTTCAACTCACAGATTTCATTTCAGTAACCAGAAAGAAAGGTCAAAATTTATGAACCGAAAATAGCACGAAGCCCTTATTAATATTATTTTTATTGGATTGTAACGTTATTCGTAGAATTTAGTTTATTACGTGTACATTACATAGGTACTATTTACTTTGTTTATATTACTTCTATTTTTCTTTTCTTGAGGTAACTTTATTTAAAACAATGGATAAATTGACACCGAAGGAAATGCCGTGAAGAAATGAATTCACCGAACTTTATCAATAGGTAAATATCGTTTTTTCACTGGACGTGTATAATGCACAAGAATTAGAAACACCCATAATGGCTCACGCCTGACTTGATGTTAAGCAAAGACTGGAGTCCATAGTCAGCAGAGCGTGAATGCCTCCGCCTTCCTCGAGACATGGAAATCTCAGTTGTACAGTAAACCAACTATGCCACTCCTCAAATTGGAGCGCGTTACTGTCCCTGCAGGAATAGACGCGATGATACCGACTCGTGTGGGCTCACAACGCGCCCTACCACTACATTTTGTTATATTAAAATGGAGTGAGGTGATAAAGACAACTGAAGTGCCGTGATAGGGTGCATAAGGTACCTAAGTAAGGTACCCTTGGTACATAATGGAAATTCAATGCGCTTGGTATTACTCGCAGTTCAACATTTGTGTATCGACGTATCGAGCTATTGATGAGTGTGCTTAGTGTGAGTTTTTTAACGTTGCGTGTATGCAGTTGGAACGTTTACCTACGTTTTTCTGCTAGGAGCACTGTTCCAACTCAATAAAAAAAACATTACACACACCACCATGTATTCGACATAACGCGCATATAAACTACTTTGTTTATTGTTAAAGTCTGTGCCTCTGTGGGCAAATTGAGAATAGATTAATAATAGGGGTTAAAGTATAAAATTGCCGATTTGTACTTCAAAATTGAAATTCTTTTTTTTTAATTAACATATTTATTTAATCAAAGTATCTATCTACCATTATTGTCTATACATTGCAGCCATCTATTAGGAAGTTCATTTATGCCTTTGCGATATAACCCTGGTGATCTAGATTCTACAAACTGTGTGAAAGCATTTTGTACTACCTTTGTAACGCCAGAATATTTCATCTCCGTTAATTTAAACCTTTTTCTAAATTACTGGCAACGCCATCTAGCGACTGTACGTGGCGCAGTGTGGAGAATTCGATACCTTCTTTTTTAATACACACAAATAAGTTCGCTAACTCGACACTGCATGTCGTGACTGTGCGTTTTTGTCTATTATTCGACGACAAACTTTTCACATCACTGGCCTGCAGAATCTTCGAGAAACGACACCTTATTATTATAAAAAAGGACAAGTTTACTTTGTCGAGCTCTCTTTCGTGTAACATCTCTCGAGCTGCGAGGTGATTATGTTCATTGCTTTACCAAAGTCAGTTTTATTAATCCTTGGTGACGGGTGTTAAACCAGGGTAAGTGTATTTGAATTATTCTCCACACCGTGTCCACAATCTTTAATTAAATAAATTTTAAAACAATGTCTTGATACGTAGGTCCTTATAACTGGTACAAAATATGTACTTTAGTTAGGGTGCGAAGCGTGACCTTGATCACCTTCGGAATCCCATAGCACTTTCATATATGGACGCTGCTTGAAGCAGGGAGCTCTAGCAAGTAGGTCCAAGGAAGGCTGTTTGACTACGGTAGTAACAGGACATACCCGCATTCCCAGCCTCGCTTGCATACAGCAACCCCGGTTGCTGAGAAGTGATCCCGGTGAATCGAATTTCGTTTCTCTTATTTGCATTAATTTTTTTGTGTAACTTTCTCGCGTGTTCGGTGTATCTACACCGATTTTATAAACTTTAACTTAACCTCTCACTAGTATTATAATCTTATAACTATTAATGTAAGTTAACTCATTTTATGTTTTTATATCTGTGTCCAATAAACACAAACTTGTTAATTTTCATTTGTTTTTTTATCGGTGTAAGTCTCCCAGAGCGGTAAGTTGTGACGCCCTGAGATCCTCCTCACAGAGTCTCCTGTTCACCGGTTGTCTACCGGTGGTGACGTGTCAAGAAGTGGTGCGACTCGGCCCCGTGTCTCTCGACCCATAGACCACCTTTTGGGGAGTGACGCGACTGGGCCTCGTGTAACATCGGCATACCCAGGGGCACCCTCAGACACAAACACGTTATACGTTTTTTTTTTACTATCTCCTGGGAAGAAAACGTTATCACGTAGAAAATTGTCCAAATCACGAAAAAAATGGTAGTCCGTTGGAGCAAGGTCTGGCGAATACGGAGAGTGATGAATGGTTTCTAATTGCAGTTCCTGTAGAGTTAAAACGGCTACTCGTGCTGTATGAGGTCTCGAGTTATCGTGGAGCAATAATGGTGAAGATCGATTCATGAGTCGGGGCTGTTTCACGGCAAGTTTTGCTATCATTGTTCGGAGTTCGGCAGAGTAGGCATCTGCCGTTAGTGCTTGACCAAATCGGAGAAAGCTATAATGAATAACACCATGCTGAGACCACCAAACAGTTACCATTAGCTTTTTATTGGTAAAACTTGCTTTAGGACACTGTTGCGGCATTTGAATTGGGGTCAACCGTTGCATTTTTCGCTTACGGCTATCGTAAAGAATCCACTTTTCATCACATGTCAGAATTCGATCCAATATTACTTCATTTCTGTATAGATTCAACAAGTCAACACAAGGTTTAACACGCGTTTCTTTCTGCAGATCCCATTTTTTAAGCAATTCGATAATCTGAATCTCGGAAACGGCTCCAACGATTTTTATAAAATTTAGTATACAGGGGATTTCGGGGGCGATAAATCGAACTAGCTACGATTTATTTTCAGAAAATGTTGTTTTGTTCGTGTTTTCAATAGTCAACTTTATCGATAATCAACTTTATGACTCTTCCCGACATCTATTCGCGAATAATAATACTATTTTTCATAACTGAGAGCAACTAACTGCCTTAAAGACACAATAACACTAAAGCCATTTCAGCAGATAGCGTTGTTAAGCCACCCGATGCCAATAAGTGTTTGGTAAGGAATATTTCATAATTTTATCAATATGTAATTCGTATTTAAATATAATTTCTAAAAACACAATTTATCAAAAAAAAAACCGTCTGGTCATCGTCTGGTTTTATTGATTTGACGCAAACGAGTCAATATTGTTGGTAAGGTAACGTTAAAGCTTGTCGCTGATTCCTGGGTATTTTGGCTCGGATCGGCTTCCACCATCTCTTTCAATTCATTGTTATTCACATGTGTGGGCGGTCTTCCACGTAGCTCGTTCTTCAAATCAAAATTTCCATCACGAAAGCGTTTAAACCAAAATCGCACGGTGCGTTCATTAGCAGTCCCCTCTCCAAACGCAACATTGATATTGCGAGCTGTTTCTGCAGCGTTAGTTCCGCGTCGGAACTCGTATTCAAAACTCACTCGAATTTTCGAAATAGTCATCTTTCTTGTCTAAGCTGAATAAAAAAAACAACTGAAAGTTGATAATCAAATGTTGCACATTTTTAAAAGAAGAACCTCATAGGTACCATTTGAAAAAAGTTTCACTCACAAACCTCAAACCTTGAAGGTTCTATGTCAATTCGAATTAGGTACCTATTACAATAGAACGGCAATTTCATACTTTAACCGCTATTATTATTTGTCTATAGTGTAGCCTTGGCGAAATCTGTGATTTTACCAGTATAGCCTTTTACAACAGCTCGTGCAAATTCTCTCAGGTTGAGCCCGTGAGCTCACCTACCTCTTAGGCCATTAGGCTACCAGCGAATACGTAGAACCATACAATAGAACCATAACAATGCTCATACTTATCTCAATTAAATAAGGTCGAATTTTGACCACTAGTAACTGTAACTAGGTACCATTGCCGTGTTGGAATTGCCAGCCTTAATTATCGCCATAAGTTAAGGATTTGTCAAAATCCGTTTTAGTACTAAAATTTAAGTTATTTTGCAAAAATAGTATATTATTTTTAATCTAATATAATACTTATAGCAAAGTAATATCTATACAATTTTAATACCTATTTAAACCAACTATTTTTACAAACCTTACGATTTAACAATATCATACTTTACTAGCGCCCTTTTAGAATTTCCATTTCTTACTTTTTCAAAAGTCAATAATAAAAGTGTGGCACTCGGCAACTGCTGCGGTAAAGCTATTGCATAGCATTTTTTATCAACTTATGCAATTATAATTAGACAATGATAATTTAATATTAAAACAATAATAAAACAAGACCACGCTATATTAAACATTAGTAAAAGCAAAACATTAACTGTCCCCTTCACACTCATAAACTAAAGCGCGAGAGAGAGATGGGCAGACTTTTCATGATGCGCATGCAGTGTGACGTCACGCCACGCGCTTATTCACAAAAACTCTACACAAGCGCAACGTGTGAATGTGTTGAACGCGAGCTACATGGTAGGCGGAGTGATGGGTGTTAGGTTTTTTTCGTTACGGAATTTCATGATTCGGTCGCCGCGCTCAAGGCTCGCGATAAAAGCTATGCAATATCTTAATATAAAATCAGGTATCAGTAGCGTAGCGACGGTGGAGCAAAGGGAGGCATCATGTCCCGGGCGTTACTCACAAAGGGGCATCAAATGGTCCACAAAATAAAAAAAGGGCGCCAAAAAGGTCTTGTGCCCCGGGAGCGAGTTAAGATCGCTACGCCACTGAGAGGTACTGTGTACTGTCTAAAGGATATTTGAGTGAAGGGTTTGAGTGCAGAAATGACGTATGATAGGCCTGACGCCGACCACACATAGTGGGATAAGGGCAAGAAGAACTTCTTCGGTTTGAAATTTAGAAACATTTTGATCTGATAACCAGTTTTTAACCCAAAGTGACAAGATGGCATCAGATATCACCATCTTATGAATGCATTTTTTTAATACACTTTTTATTAGTAGTAGATTTCTGAAAACGATTGTTTGAAAACTCTTAGTAAAAATTAAAACTTTCAAGACAGCTTAATATATTCCAAACATAGCTATAAATAGCAACATTGCTGTTGCGTAAACGCAAAGTTTGACGAATCGTAAAAACAGCGTTGAGGTTTTGTGTTTCAAATTTAGGTGGGAATATATTTCTGATTAAATCGATATTGGTTCAAACTACTCAATCGATTTCAAAGCGCCGAGTAGATACTCGGCGCTTTTTAAAGCGTTAAGTGATTTAAAAAGATGTGATTGTTTTGAATTTTGGACTAGATCGAGCAGATATCCATTTCGTTTATTTAAAACTAGCGACCCGCCCTCGCTTCGCTTCGGAAACTGTAATTTATTATTGACTTCTCCACTATTTAATGGATGTTATTATACATATAAACCTTCCTCTTCAATCACTCTATCTATTAAAAAAAACCGTTGCTTTAAAAATTTAAGCATACATAGTGGTTTATACTTGTGGTAGGACCACTTGTGAGTCCGCGCGGATAGGTACCACCACCCTGCCTATTTCTGCCGTGAAGCAGTAATGCGTTTCGGTCTGAAGGGCAGGACAGCCGTTGTAATTATACTGAGATCTTAGAACTTATATCTTGTAGATGTCTATGGGCTCAAGTAACCGCTTTACACCAGGTGGGCTGTGAGCTCGTCCACCCATCTAAGCAATAAATATAAATATATATATATATATATATATATTCATTCTATTTTAATATAACATATATTATATGTATAAAGTTGAAGATGTCGCATCTATTATCATAGCATTCCCTATTAAAAGAGCAATCTGATTTAAGAATGAAAGATGGAGAAAACCACAATACTACACATCGAAAATGAAGTTTCACTTCATTCACGTGCACCAAGTTTCACGCACGCCGTTTTTATTTTTGTATGGAAGCTCCCTGTTTGTCCAAAGACACCAGATTTTTACTGTGGCGAACTCGAAGGCTTCGTTAAGAGTGGGCTTTCACTAATTATAAACCTAATTTATTTAAATTTGAATTGAAGAAGATTTTTTCCTTAACCAATTTCGATTAAATTAATCGATTCACTGTTCGAAATAGTCGGAACGTAGTAACATCACGACGTGCGGTTTTTTTTGTCATCGACTCGATTCTTCGTAAAAGTGTCAGGCTGTGACTGATAGTCACGTACAGACATTTGAAAATATAAATGTGTCTACTTACGAACATCAAGTTTTAGTCAAAAATATTGGGCAATAACTAAATGTTAAAATAGACTAAGAAATTCGGAAATTTCTATTTAGTGAGTTAAAACTCCAATGGGAATGACTAAAATATCGCCAATGGCTTATTAGACTTTGCCCCAATACTGAATAAATAAATATAAATAAATTGTTATGCAACGAATTAATTTAATAAAAAAAAAACATTAGACTGTTATAAAAATATGTCTAGTTAAAATATGTACTTAGAAAGTTTAAAACAAAATTGAATGGTGATGTAAGAAAAAATATTTTGTGAAAGAACATAAATGTGAAAATTTCGTGTAAAACCTTCATCTTTATGTATTAATTGATTCACCTGCCTCGAGAATACCGAAATGGCTGATAATACAAGGTTCGTAATACATTTGAATATTTTGTATATAATTATGAACTTGAAATCTACTAAAAAGTATATAAGAATGCTTATAAAATGTAAGACCAATATATATTATTGGCCAATTTCCTTTGCATCCCATGCAATAAACTTGCTGTCCATATAGTAGAGTATAAAAAACAAATTAAAATTTTAGATTTGATTCAATTAAAAAAATATGATCAGATTGACATGCAGCATACAAAATCAAAATAAAATGAAAGATATCCTGCAGTACTTACCAAGTACCAACAAACAATATATGTGTCAGGCATGACTAGGTCAAGATGTCTTATCTTGTTTTGTTTTAAATGGTATCGCTTAGTGATTTGCCTGTATTAAGGGATTACCATAACTCATAGACAATACTATATGAATACTACCATTACTCACTTTGAGTAATCAGATCTAAAACTAAAGTGTTTGGAGTGATGGAAATCATGTCTATTGTAGAATTGCTATGCAGTTGGTTGAACACTGAAGATAAGTATTTGGAGGAATAGAGGAAGTAAGGAAGTAAAAAATAGATAATGATTCAAATATGAGCGACTAACGAAAAAATAACATTAGAAACAGCTCAAGGTCTATACTTATTATCTATCTAGCCTCATGTTATTATTATTTTAGGTATTGCTACTGAGGTTACTGTTATACACTATAATCATTAAAATAAATAGATCTTATGGCCACAATGGTGATTTATGGTTGGCACACGTGGGCCAAAATAACTTCACTTATTATTTAATTAGGTTAGGGAAGAATGCCTATGGGTTATAAGCTTATGGGTTATAATTATAGTAGGTAAGCTTATGGGTATAAGGAAGCTTATGGGTTATAATTATTAAAGATAAGAATTAACTGGTTTCTCATAACAAATACTCAAGTTTTCATTCATTTTCCTGTTTAAAGAATAGAACACACTCAAAATAATAACCTTTGCAGATCAATTATGAAATTTTTGGTGTATTGGTGTAGAATCACTGCAAATAATTGTTATAGCTGTTACAATGCAGCAAAGCGATTGACACCAATCACCATAAGATACGAATTGGAGGTCTCAAGTACAGTCTGTAACTGCTCTGTCACACTCTGTTAGGAAAGTATGATGTTTTTCAACAGAGATTGTTAAGATAGTGGTAGCTAGCCATTCGTACCCACACCAGTAATTATGTGGAGTTATAATTTCAGCAATTTTAGCATTGCTTAATAAAAATAAATTATTACATGATTCCTTCATTATGAAGTCGTTCATGAATCACTTTTTACCATTACTCGTCAATAAGTTGTTACCTACCTGAATAAATTGATTATGCTGTAATTATCTTAGTCACTGGATGTAAGTGCATCATGCGTCTGTACGCGACCATGAGGTTTTGAAATCTAATGTTAATGTTATATATTAATAGAGATTAATATAGATTAATAATATTATCAAAAAAAAACCTGTAATTTTTTTGTAAACATAACTTTGACCACGAATAACTTCGAAATGGGTAGGATTCTCGAAAACGTTGTGGAGACCTTTTTTGTAGAGCGTCAAATTTCCTATAAAAGTACTTTTTGGTTTGGCAGTTCATAAAGCGGTTTAAGAGTTACAAAATTCTGAAATTAAATTTTTTTTTTCCCTTTTATTTATATGGGAAATAGAAATCTGCGATGCGCGACCTCTTAATATTAATATTAAGAGCTCTAATTTTTACAGGCGTTTTTTGACACCTTTTCGAAAGTTTTTCCATGACGATTTCGAAAAAAAAAAATTAATAATTTTTTTTGAATCAGCCTAATATATATATTGTTGGAGTTCATCCTCATGTGTTCAGGTGGGTGGGAACCACTGTCCCATGGTGGTTACTGCGATCTGGAGTCGCTGATGTAAGAGCGACTTCTTCCTACACGAGTAGTAGATAGCCGTGTCATCGGCGAAGAGCGCTAGATGGGTCTCCGGAGATCGTAGTATATCATTGATATACAAACTAAATAATAACGGGGAGAGCGCGGAGCCTTGCGGGACTCCGGCAGTCAGATGACGGGGACGAGACCGAGTTCCCTCTACTCGATATCGAAACGAACGGTTCGACAAGAAGTCTCGTGTGATGAGCAAGAGTCTGTCCCATGTTGTACAGTTTGTAAATCAAACCTTTGTGCCAGACTTTTCGAACGCTTTCGCGATATCGAAGATGAGGGCTCCGGTCGGGATTTGTTTACGCCTATTTAGCCCTATTAAGATGTGTTCCGTGAGGCGGTGCACTTGTTGTATGCACTAGTGCTTAGCGCGGAATCCAAACTGCTCGTCTATTAGTTTTTTGTTTGCGGTAACAAAGTCCCAGAGGCGTTTCCGAAGGAGTCGTTCGTAAATTTTGCCTATCGCGGGGAGGAGACTAATCGGACGGTAACTAGCGGTTTCGTTTTTCGGTTTGCCCGGCTTATGTATACCGATAACGTCCGCTTCTTTCCACACCGCGGGAAAGATGCAGTGCGTCATAGCGGCATTTAAAATGGTAGGCAACATTGCTATCAGTTGGACTGGTAAAAGTTTTAAGGCGCGGTTGCGGATGCCGTCGCCGGAGCCGGGTGCCGGCCGAACTCGGGGGACAGTCTGATGCGGGGAAAGCTATCCTCCACATCGACTTCTTTGGAAGATCTTATGATCGCGGAACAGATGTGGTCAGTAATGATGTTTATGGATTCGACGGTGTCCTACCCCTGGGATAGATTCGAATCCGGGCCGTAAGGGAGGATTGGTGGAGCGGCTTCTGCTAAGCACGTGCCCAGCTTATTCCAATCCACCATGGTCCTCGTAACAGTGACTGGGTTGTGAGGGCGACCGAGCTGCATAACGACAGGTCGGTGGTGTGAGTCGAGCTCTGACAGTGCTTCGATGGAACGCAAGCGCAGAGTTACGTTCCTAAGCAGTGCCAGGTCTATAGTGCTCGGACGGAGCGCGATGTTATACGAATAACATGTTGGAGTTGGAGGGCAGACTACATATTTCAAAAATAATTAGGTGCTTTTGGTTATAATATCACTACTAATCACTAAATAATATCATTTATTAGATACTAGTGCGGCTGTCAGAAGTTTCGTATTTGATATTATCCATCCACTATGATAGGCCACGACGACTTCAAAATATTAATTTTACATTAACCAAAAATTCGCTTTGTTCTGTGGTCACAGACAACCGAAGCTTCACACGATAATTTTGTGAAGAGTACCTATTAGCGCCTTGCGGAAGTTTAGGAAAATACTAAAACAACTAACAACACTTCGTTACTATTTAATTAAAATCGATCGGAGTACCAACACAGTAGAAGGAAGTAAAGAAGTCGATGGTAAAATCCGTATACAGTTATAAAGGCATAAACGTTAATTCAAAAATGCTTTTCCCTGTGCTGGAAGCTACATGCATGGCAATAAACTTTAAAGTACAGAGCTTACAACAGTAACCGCTAGATGGCAATGTGTCGGCTTTTTTTACATACATTGTCATTGTGTTAATCTGATAGTACAAAATCGATTATCGCATTTTTTTTGCTGAATCCGTTTTGTTAATGAGGACAGCCATTCCTATACGGTTGCCTGACTACTAGTTACTAGTGACGGATACTGACAGACCATTGTCCAGATCAAACCGCTGGATCATTTACTGGTGGTGGTAGGTACTGTTGGCGGTTTGCAGGGTGGGGCATCCGTTGTAACTATATTGAGACCTTAAAACTCATATCTAAAGGTGGGTGCGGCACTCACGTTGTAGATCTCTATGAGCTCCGGTAACCACTTAACATTAACTGGGCTGTGAATTCACCCACTTATCTGTGCAATAAAAAAATCATTAAAGCTGACTCCTGGGCTCCGGCGCCGGTAAACACTTACAATCCAGCGGGCCGCGAAATCCTTTACTTACATACACATTTAAAAACATTTGGCATTGTATACTTTTAAGTAATACATATATTATAACGAATAGACTTTTTGGCGGGAACGCGAGGAGTGAAATTGTGTGATTTGTTTTATTTTGTCTATTTAGTGTTTCTTCTAAATGTGCAAAAACGGTGGTTTATTAATTGTTTAGTATCTGTAAAAGTGCGCAAACGCGGGAAAATGAAACAAAGCCGCTGGACGTAACTTCTCGGGATCCTCCAAAAAGTCAACTGAAAAAATCTCGGTAAATGACCATCATTTTATTGAGATTATATTTTATCCCATATCATCTCATCTCATTTAATTTCACTCCATATTATCATTTTTGATAAAAATGAGAATATGAATTAAAATAAGACATGACCTAAAGATCTTACTTAGTTACCAGGTCATAAAATCCCATAAAAAATAAAATAATGAATATTGACATGCTCGTTCTGCGTGCGTTCCTAAATCTGGTTATCTGGTGGTGATGAAACTTAGAATTGTTGTATTGTCGGCGCTACAGGGAAAGCTTCTACCACACTACCACCAAGGCACGAATGGTGGCACGCGAGTTTCAGTGAGAAATTTGTTTTTCATAGAGTAGGCCAGGGAGTCCCTACTGTAGTATAAAAATACCCCAAGGTCGCTAAAATTCTATGAATATTTCTAAAAACAAGTAATAATGGTATCAGTTGTTCTATAGCCATGACCCGAGCTTCAGAAGTAGGAGTTGTTAGCAACAGACAATTAATGATCTGTACTCGCAATTTCATTGAAACGATTGCCTTCAATTGAAGTGGACTTGTGAATCTATTGGATGTGATTACCAAATCGTTACGTTGCGTTATATCGTAGATTGTATATGATCTGTATAGCCTGATAGCTATTTCACAAGATATGGAAAACCCATATACCATGTCCGAAGACTTGTATGTTTGTATGTGGATATCGTGGTTAATTATTTAACTATACGTATTGTTCCAATTGCAAGTCCTATAAGATGCGAAAGCGTGTCACTGCTCGGTCATTGTGTGCTCAAGGGATGGGTAATAGTTACAAGGGCACTCTGAGCTATCAACGCGTCGTCCCACAGCGACGAATAAAAAAAGATAAAGATGCACCTTCGTAAAATATATTTCAATTATGATTTTTTGTATAGCTCTACCACAACCACTCTAATATTTCAGCACTATAAAATCTTGTGTGTGTGTGTGTGTGTGTGTGTGTTAGCTGTGCGCGCGCGTGTGTTTTGAATTTTTTTTTAAATTATCTGATAGACGGTCGAGCTCTTGACCCTTCTGATTTAAGAGGTTACTTGAGTTTTTAAATAGATTTTTATTATTATAGAGTTTTTATTTATATATAAAAATAATATATTTAGATATATTTAGTTAAAGAGTTTGAATTGCATTGCACCGTATGGCGGTCGCCCCGCCCCACCCTTGACATCGGAACGCGTGTCTACCCAGCGGCATTAAAGTAAGATTAACGTGTACTCATCCCTATCTTATAACATTGACAGGTAGATTTTATGGTTTATTTGTTATCTGCTCGGTGTCCCAAATAATCTACATAAGACGTTCAGAGATACATATATTTACATAAATTAGATGGTGCTAGGTTCATGATACTTTAAATAGTTATACATTTGTTATTCAGTCAGTGGGAATTGAAAAGTATGAAATTGCATAGAATTCACAGCGTAGATTTTTTATTTGAAATAAATACTTAATATTTGATCATTATGTTGGTCTTACAGCTCACAGTGTTGAGTTTAATCAATGCTTATAAAATGTATGCACTATTTCTGTAAACGGTTGTCCTTTGCAAATCTATATAGTATTTGGCAACAGCACAATGGTCTGCGCAATATTATTGGATATTTCAAGACTGTATATGGCACACATGAAAAGTTCTTTTGAACGGGCTTTGCCATTAATCAAATCGGAATTTCTTGAATCGTTGTAAGATATTATATAAACAGTCGTGTCATGGAGAGCAGCCCGCCACACAAGTTTCAAGATAATTCCCATCGTAGTAGGAAGTCAAAACGAACGGTGTTTGTTAACAAAAAAAAATACTCATGGACATCAGAGTAAAGATGTACTAAATACATTAATTACACATAAGACAGTTCATTTGTGTCAACTGATAACATTTTAATGGTCTGTTCTGTTTTAGTTGTGTAGTTTTTTATGTGTAATAATATTCGGGAATATAAGCTTCTTTGAGGCGTGGTACGGAGTTCAGCCGGGGGCCCGACCTGCAGCCTTGGGTCCTGCCTGTGCCCGGCTTATCTGAACTACTCTGAACGACTCGGGACTGACATGTTTGCGACCTTCAAATGATTCGGTTGTTTTAACTAAACGATAAGAGGCGACGCGATACAACTCACTGGGCTACATTAGATAACAATAATTAAGAATGATGACCGATCGATTAATGCGCGTTACAGGGGCGATGATTTAATTTCATCATTCGGTGCCTTCTGCGGCGGTTACTGCTTAATGTATGTTTATGTTTTAGAAGTGAAGTCGTCATGGCCTAAAGGATAAGACGTCCGGTGCATTCGTGTGAGCGATGCACCTGTGTTCGAATCCCAGGCAGGTACAAATTTTTCTAATGAAATACGTACTCAACAAATGTTCACGATTGGCTTAAACGGTGAAGGAATAACATCGTGTAATAAAAATCAAAACCCGCAAAATTATAATTTGCGTAATCACTGGTGGTAGGACCTCTTGTGAGTCCGAACGGGTAAGTACCATCACCCTGCCTATTTCTGCCGTGAAGTAGTTATGCGTTTCGGTTTGAAGGGTGGGGCAGTCGTTGTAACTATACTATCACCTTGAGATCATATCTCAAGCGCATTTACGTTGTAGATGTCTATGGACTACGGTAACCACTTAACACCAGGTGGGCTGTGAGCTCGTCAACCCAGCTAAGCAATGAAAAAATAAAAAAAGCGATGCGACTATGCCCGAGTTTAAATCTCATAAACAGGTAAGATTTTTTCTAACACCTGTTCACAATCGGCATAACAGCAACAGCATTTATATATGTCTTATTACTGGCGGTGGAGCACGTCGATTTGCATATGGTCTTGCTGCTGCTTGGACTGATCGTAACAGAAAGGATTTACTAACTAAATCGTTCTCAGCTAAACGTCCGCTATTAGATTGCCTAGTTATCGATTTGCAAAATTATATATGGATAGGTATAACGTCTGGGTAGGCGATCCATAGAAACCAGACTAAAGTGATTGCCGATAACAGGTATATTCATTTACAAATATATTATAATTATTCGAAATATCAAACACGCGATTTAAATTCATATTTAAAATATAACGTTCTGAAATATTACAATAATAAGTAGGTATGAATAATGTGGTCTAAGCTAATCTAACATAAGCTTACTTATAAATAAGATTTTTTTCTAGATTCGTCCTCAACGAATGTAGCACTCTCTCGCTGTTTCCTATCTTAACTACCACAGTATATTAGGTTTTTTGAAGTTAGTCGTTTTTTATATTATATTTGTTGCCGTTCAAAATGCGCACCCATGGTACCGATGCATCTCTGCCAGCGCAGTCGTAATTTTAGCCAACAAACTCTTGAAAGGCATTGTGCACTGCCTCACGGGTTGATTTTTGTCCCTGCCCATTAAATTTTCGTTTGGAGCTTTGCCTAGGTGTTGAACCAGGGTCTCGTTAACACGATGACTGCTTACGATTATCAAAAAGAGTCCATTTTTCATTGCAAGTGACAATACTGTTCAAAACCCCTTCGTTTCTGTATCTGTTAATCAACGCACGGCACACCTTGCCGCGTGCGTCGCGCTGGCGATCCTTCAGTTCGTGCGACTCACACTTATCGAGTTTTGTTACCTCGCCAACTTGACGCAAATGGACCAATATTGTTCTGACGCTGACGTTGAGAGCTGCGGCTAACTCAGCGGTAGAGTTCCGCCGCCTTTAACTCGTGGTTGTTGACTTTAGTTTTCGGTTATTTTTATCATATTATTATCTTTATTTGATGGCAAAGATAAAAATGTAGTGAAAATACAACATTACCTAATCAATAAAGAAACGACTGAATTTAATAATAGAATTCCATATTTTAGAATAATATTCATGTGACTATAGAATTTATAGTCATAGATACATTACGTCTGAAATGGCTAGTGAAATGGTCATAGGTATAGACCTATTATTAGCACGTATACTGGTTTCTCTTATTCGCTGGTCGCTATCGACTAAATTCGCTGCCACTTGTGCTCAGTAACAACGCTTAGTCTTCGAATTATCGCATAAATACATACTTGTGGCTAACATTGTATGTTGTCGTCAGCTAAAGGCGGCAGCACGAGGTGGTGTGCGGACATGGCCAGCCCAGAGTCCGTCAACACTCGTGGTTGGCTGCGCCACTTCCCACCCACAGGTAGGAGTGCACTTCACCAATTTTATTTGCATGCATATTGATCTAATATAAGTGTGCATATTATTCTGTAAGGTTTTAATATAAGTGAGCCAATGTAAAGTGCGGTAACTGAATGCCAGCCAGCCCAGCCCAGCCACACCGGGACACGAAGTCGTTTTCCCAGCGTTTAAATTACCCCTGGAGTCGCCGGAACGCTTCGTCACCAGCGTGGAGCTTCCACAGAGACCAGTGCGCTCATTCACAAGCAAAGAGTGCTACACAAAACATTATACCGGCAACTGGTAATTTTGACTATGTCGTCGTTTGTGTCTGTATCTGTAATTAAACAGTACGTTTCACTGCTTAGCGTTTGTTGAATTTAAACAATTGCTTTACATCTTTGTACTTGATTGGATCATTTTTATTTATTTGTAACACTTCATGTAAAAATTACCCAGTCAACATTTTCGTGATATTAAGGGTGAAAATATTTTGTTCCAAATCGTATATTATTGTAATTTTGGTTGAAGCCATCGGGCTATTGTTTATTTCTGTAATCATGATAGCATATCTAGATAGCGTTAAGGAGAAGTTCTTCGTGAATAATCATGCGTGAAATGAATGTTGAGAGCTATAATAGTTGCATTCACAGAAATTCGACAGAATGTAATCGGACATAAAAAGTCAAATATTACTAAATTATACATAGAGCCCAGAAAAATGACCCGCATTTATCGAATCAAATAAAAACCAGTACTAATAATTTTCAAATTTTTGTCTCTATTACATAAAGGTGATATGTAAATAATTATTTAAATTCACTTCCTGTCTCGTTTCAACTTGTGCGATAAAACGAGAAAAAAATATCAGTTATTTTTTTTCTCGACAAGAGCTCGTTGCGATTTTGCATATAAATTTGAGAGCTTGTTGGGTTCTTTTAGTCTGTTCAAATAGAATTGCGGTTGTAGTGCAACTGTATTATTAGTATTCTGATAGACGCACACTTTTTATTAATTAAAACAAAAAATATTAAAGCTACTACTTATAGTACTTGACGACAACGTTGTCCCCGCGGTAAATCGTGTCGTAGGATTTCATATTTCAACATATGTAACCCAAGTTAAATCTAAAATAAATAAGAATGGGTGCGTCAACATCCAGCGAGAGAATGTGGAGCGTAATGTATCTTGTTTAGTCTTACATTTTTACTGTCTGAGCGCGACCACCGCCGCCGCGAAGCAAACAGACTCGAGCGCTCACCCGGCAAAGGTTATTTTATTATATTCACCATTACCGGCTCGTCGTCAAAATGTGAGTGATTTATTGATTTTATTACTACACTACACTGTTTCCAATATTTGGTGTAGGATTCTCTTGTCCCCTGCCACGAAGTGGGGCTGAGCGCGTGTCGGAAGTTGAGGATTGCTAAGCTTGATTTTGAATTAAGTGTTGTATATTTCAATATTTTTTCAATATCAATAGTTTTGTGAAACTAATGTGATATTTGCCATCTTCGACGACTGTGCCAGGAGGGCAAGTTGTGAGCACTCCCACCATCACCCACCTGCGGCCGCGTACGGCTCACTTTATATTAACAAGACCAGCCACTTTGAGACACTAGTCGAAGTATTAATAGAATTAAAGAATCTATCTACCTTTGAAGCTGATCGAATGATTACTTCGTAGCGGGATGGTTTAACTAAGTGTTTTCCCTTTACTTAAAGAGCTTAGGCTAAGGTGCTATTCCAACTGCGCGAATTGGTAGGTGAGTTCACGGGGCCCAAACAGAGAGGATTTGCTAACACTAGCCCTTACAAGAGAAGCGTTTCGCTAAATCTACCGCCGGATTGGAATCACGACACGCTTGAACAGATTGTGTCTCTGGGTTAAGTTGCACGTCGAACTATTCGTCGTTATTGAAGAATTCGACGAGAATGGTGATAGATGCTTAGAGAACCGAAAATCACCGAGAGGGATCGAGTGAAGGAGGACGTGCTTAGGATGACAGTGGCCGTGCGTTACCTCGTCACCTGGGTCGGCTATGTAGTGGGAGGGAGAAGAGCGTTTTCGTGTCGCACCGCTTGTTCGAAGAAGCGTTCTGACACTTTTTTCACTTAATACGTATCGATTCTAATTGGTGGTCGTCGTGAAGACCTAAACTCCTCGCATACTGGTGTTAGGATCTCTGGTGAGTTCGCACGGGTAGGTACCATCCCCCTGCCTATTTCTGCCGTGAAGCAGTAATGCGTTTCGGTTTGAAGGGTGGGTAAGCCGTTGTGACTATACTGAGACCTTAGAACTTATGTTTTCAAGGTATATGGCGGTATTTACGTTGTAGATGTCTATGGGGTCCGGTAACCGCTTAAAAACAGGTGGGCCGTGAGATCGTCCACCCACTTAAGTAATAAAAAAAATACGACGGTGCTCCGAGGGCTGTTCAGCAAAAGCGGGATTGGATGACCTGGAGAGAGTTGTGTGTATGCGGACAACGTGAAGACGGAATGTCATCCCTCTTTCGAAAGTGACCCCCCCGGAGTACTTGACCTGATACTTGAAGTGGTCTCGGTTGCGACCCCTTTTGAATAGCACGGCTGTGCTTTTCGTGGAGGTTAATGTGCCACTTCCGGAACAACTTCCCTGGCCGCGATGTGAAGCTTATTATGGATGATCGACGCCTTCCTACTGAAGTAGTAGATAGCCGTATCATTGGCGAAGAGTGCTAACTGGATTGCCGGCGACCGGGGTGCGTCACATGAGACCCTGTCCCCGTGTAGAGAACCTGAACCTGCGATGTGATGACGACCACCACTCATGATGCCACTGCGTCACCTGTGAATAGTAACTGTAATAAAAATCACGATAATAATGTATCGTCGTTGTTGCTCCGTATACTTTCGGAACACAAATCCTCAACAAGAACTGAAATTTTATTAATTTATTGACACAATCGATCACAGATAAGTATTATAATATAGATTCCGGAAATCTCGCTTATTACCCGCTCTACGTTATACGTACCTAAACAAGAACTGTACATGAACTGAACTGCTGAATAACGTAAAAATGCTTTATTATTGTTATAATGTAAAGTTATATTAGAATAAATAAATAAATATTTATTAACAATCACGCCACGTTAACTGGTCCCGTGATAAGTTCGTAAAGAACTTGTGTTACAGGTACCAGATAACGGAAATAAATGTAAGATTTTTATAATACACATACATACATTTAATATACATCCATAACCCTGGAAAAGACATTTATATTTATCATACAAATATCTTCCCTTGGCGGGGTTCGAACCCGCAACCCCCTTGTGTAGTGACCATGTCACTTACCACTACACCAGACGGCCGTTGAAGAAACATTTCAATTACGGTTGGCATGTAATGACTTAAGACCAGCGACAATCCTCCATTACTACAACATTTCTATTGTGTCAGTTTTGAAGTTGTACGTAATGATAGTGAATGAAGGTAATAAATAATTTTATTCTAGTAATGTAGATAACTATTTAAATTCGTCATTTATGTGAACGAGAATGCAATTGAAAATTTATGTTGTCTGTGAAAATATTGCGCTACGACCGTGTTTTCGTGTTAAATATAAGGTGCATGTTTTTAATATTAAACGCATATACATATGCCCCATGTGTCAAGGTAGGTGGCGCCATTCTCGTAGGCTCCGGTGTTCAGGGCCTTAGAGCTCGTTTATTTATTTATTTTAAAAAAGTCCTGCCACATCACAAACATATTTTAACATTGAAAATAACTTAAACTATTTAACTATGCATCTGCAGTTTGATACAAGTATGTATAGGCACTGTAAAGTTTTGTACATACTTAATTTACTATAATGATTTTATTCACATGTAAATACGTATATGTGTACATAAAACAGCTATTTGCGAAACATCTGTTCATTTATTTTAATCGTCACTTTCAACCCACGCCTCAAGAAGTGGATCTCACTGCGCTCGTGAAACATGGAGTGGAGTTCATTTCAGAGTCGTGTGGTATTTTATGGCAGGTGGCGGCGGGGCGTTGCCACTGTCATTGCCGATGTATAAGGACGGCAGTGACCCTGCTCCATCAGGCAGGTGGATGGAGTGTTGTTCTGCCTACCAAGACAATCAAAATAACGTCGTTAAAAACCAGTACATCAAAATTTAACCTTAAAATAAAACATATGTTACGTATATATACATATGTACATGTTATATATTCGTTTCGTAACCTGCTAGTGATGCTAAAATATACGGCAGCTGTCAATACTCTGTGAATATCCAGCTTTGTTGGAACAGTCCGCGGATAGATTATGTTAAGGCGGAACGCGCGGAGACCGGTCCAGTGGAAGAGCGGCTATCCTGTTGTCACAACGGAGGTCTCATTTAATGACTGCCAGAGTACAAAATTTATATAAATGAAAAATTCTTTTATATCAAGAATAACAAAAAAGTCGTGACAATCAAGACGAATAGAACAATATAACAACGTTTCATTTGTGTCTGGGTACTACATACAATTTTGAATTATAAACTAAACATTCAATTGTAGGCCTCTTCTCACTAGGTCATATTGACTTGAGTTGAGTTACATTCCCCTTAACTTTTTTTGCTTCACACTTGTCACACGATAGAAACAGAGTTGAATTTATTATCATAGATTAGATACGACATGACCGCGTGTAACGAACGACGTTTTGTGTTGCGAGTGCGAACCTAGAATATAAAGCATTCCAATGCATCTGTGTCCAATTAGAACAAGTGTGCAGAGCGCGCGCGAGTGTCGCCTCTCCCCCCCGACCCGCCGCACCGCACCGCACCGCGACACGACTCGAACCAACTCCTTATCGGATACAGTAACAGTACGAGCTGACTTCAACGGACTTGTGATTGCAGGTTAAACGAAGATAAAGAAATATCCCCGTGTCTCGTCAAGGAAGAAGGCTTCAACGTGAGGATGTGGGGCGCTCAAAGACGCGTGACGCTCGACGTGCTGCTCATCTGCTGGGGCATCGGCACCTGGCTCGGAGTGAACGGTCTCTATGTGCAGCTACCCCTGCTCGTCGAGAGGCTGCCCGAGGGCTGGGCCCTGCCGTCCTCGCTGGTGCTGGCCGTGCAGCTCGCCAACATTGGGCCCATTCTGTACGGTCTGCTGGGCCGGTTACGGCCCCACGCTTCAGACTCGCCCTACATCTACGGGCTGCTGATAGTCGGGACGCTGTCGCTCATCATCAACGCGTTCGTCTACGACATGACTACCGTGATAGGGGGGGCGGACCGCTCGCTGCCTTTCCTCGCGCTGGTGTTCGGCGCGGCACTCGTCGGATGCACCAGCTCAGTGTTGTTCTATCCGTATTTAAGACATTTTCGGGATATTTATTTGGCGACGTACTTAGTGGGCGAAGGTCTGAGTGGATTCCTGCCAAGCATCCTTTCTCTCATCCAAGGCGTCGGCGGAGAGCCCGAGTGCTTGCCCTCCGAGGACAGCACGCAGCTCGTACCGCACTACCCGCCGCCCTTGTTCAGCACGACCGTGTTTCTCGTAATACTCGGAGCGATGTCGGCCATGAGTCTCATTAGTTTTTTCATAATAAACAATTATAGAGTGTTCGACTCTGAAAAAGTGACACAGACAGTTGAGACGAAAGACGAGAATATAGTAGAAGAGCGGGAGTCGCTCGTCGCGCCGAAGTGGGTCGGGGTGCTGGTGTTCATGGTGTTGCTGAACGCGGTGAACAACGGGCTGATGCCGTCGATCCAGTCGTACTCGTGCATGCCGTACGGCACGCGGGCCTACCACCTGGCCGTGACGCTGGGCGCCATGGCCAACCCGGTGGCGTGCCTGGCGGGCGTGTGGCTGCGGCCCGTGGGCGCGCGCGTGCTGGCCGGCATGCTGCTCGCCGCGCTCGTCCCCTTCGTCTACATGACGGTCACGGCGCTCATGAGCCCCGCGCCGCCGCTGCAGTACGACGTCATCGGTGAAGTCTTGATCGTGAGTAATAAATACAAAAGTACTGCTAAATGTACGTACTGGTAGTACGGCGCGTTAAGAACCCACACTCGGGTGGGTAAGTACGACGACTGGCTTATTTCTGCCATAACGCATGCGTTAAACAATAGTATTGAAACTAGTACACTAACTTTTACTGGTGGTAGGACCTCTTGAGAGTCCGCGCGGGTAGGTACCACCACCCTGCTTATTTCTGCCGTGAAGCAGTAATGCGTTTCGGTTTGAAGGATAGGTCAGCCGTTGTAACTATACCTGGAGACCCTAGAACTTATGTCTCAAGGTGGGTGGCGCATTTACGTTGTAGATGTCTATGGGCTCCAGTAACCACTTAACACCAGGTGGGCTGTGAGCTAGTCCACCCAACTAAGCAGTAAAAAAATAAAAAAATAAACATATTATGATGATTGTTGTTGAATATTCTGTGTCGGTTTGTTGGTGGATATACATAATATGTTGGTCTGCGCAGGTGTTCTCGTGGGTGGTGGTGTCAGGGGTGGTGTCGTACGCGCGCATGTGGGTGTACGGGTGGGTGCGGCGCGGGGGGGCGCGCGGCATGCGGGTGTGCGGCGCCGTCACGCAGCTGGGCTCGGCCTCGGGCTCCGCCATCATGTACTTCGTCGTCAACTTTACCAAGCTCTTCGTGCAGCCCGACGTCTGCGCCCCTCTCTCTACTTAGGACAATATTAAATTATATGACTAAACTTGAAATTGTTTTATTTTGACATCACGTCTCACAGCACACGGCAGGTGGCAGGCGGGCCACTCCCCGCTATCAACATGTCTCATACACAAGCGGAAGAAGATATAAACATAAATAACCTCTTATATTATAATTTGCGTAATTACTGGTGGTAGGACCTCTTGTGAGTCCGCGCGGGTAGGTCCCACCACCCTGCCTATTTCTGCCGTGAAGCAGTAATGCGTTTTGGTTTGAAGGGTGGGGCAGGCATTGTAACTATACTTGAGACTTTAGAACTTATATCTCAATGTGGGTGACGCATTTACGTTTGTAGATGTCTATGGGCTCCAGTAACCACTTAACACCAGGTGGGCTGTGAGCTCGTCCACCCATATAAGCAATAAAAAAAAAATTAAGGTGGGGTAAAGCGTTATATGATGCTACTACCACGATTGGATGCTGGGGAAATCTCTAGCATTCATCCTAGATAGGTGGTGTGCATCTGGATAATAACCGGTCAGACACATTTTACACAATGATGGATACAGATGGTCAAGACCATTTGAAGTTGACCCGCCGTCGGAGCCTGTAGACACTTGTAACCGAAAGACACAATTATATTGTGACATTACTGAGCAGGGCTGTGGGCCCCACTCGCGCCGCCCCACACCCGAGAGTCCCTTCACAATATCCATGATTCGAAAACTTTAGACTATGTAGGAGATACCACCATTTTATTGGTCCTAATTTAATATTTGTATGTGTTTTATGATTTGATGAACAAACCTTCCTACAAAATAAACCTATATAAAGTTTGACGTCATAATAGGAACACGCGTAGTACCTACTCACGCGTCGAATGTCGCCTCCTTTACATAGATATAGCTTTGCGCAACTTATTTTATTACAATTAGAAGCCGATAAAAATACATTCAATATGACATTATATCGGGTGTCCGCCGGGAAGGTATACTATTTTGTTTGTTTATAATTTTTGATGAAATGAAAGATAATGGATCTTATATTGATAAATGCTTTATTTAATGTCGGCAATTATGTATGGAATACAATATCAATAGATGTCCGCCTCTGTTGCCTCACAAATGCGAGCCCTTTTGAGCACATTTTTCATTACATTCTCACACACTGCACGCGGTATTTATTACTGACATTAGACTTGCAGACGTCCACTGCTGGACTTAGCGTCCCATAAGGGTTTCCGACCTGTAACTGTTTGTAGCTCCACCCGCGGGAGGCCGCGCGACGCGCCGACACCACTCGATAACTCTTTTTGGTGCCTGTCGTACCTACATAACATTAAATTATTGAGAAATTACAGCACGAGTAATTGAAAATCATTACTGAAATTATTCAAGATGAAGCCTTCATCTCCTTTTTACCACTACAACTCTAGCTGGAATGCAGTTCATCCGTAGTATGCGCTGCTTTCGTTGTTTCTGCCAATAAGTTGTGCGGAGAGTCTTCATCTCACGACATCCATGAGCGACGGCGATTACCTACCACCAGTGTGCTTAGTGAGAGTTTTTTAACGTTCTCGATAGCGTAAAAGTTAACTAAAATTTGTATGGAGTTGGAACGTTTGCCTACGTTTGCAGCTAGGCGTGCTGTGCCAGCTCCATACAAATTTGAGTTAACTTTTACACTATAGAAATCATTAAAAACTCTCACTAAGCATATTGGTGTATTCTCGTCTGCCAACAAAAACAATAAGAAAATCAAATAAGATGAATTTATGATAGCAAAACGTTACAGCACTAAGATGCCTCTGTGTGCGTAATAAATTAATCTAGTAGCGTGACCTCGCAATTCACTATATTATATTACGCCAGTACTTCGTTGGTTCTCCACAACTCTCTCTAACGGCTACTCAATAATTAAAATACATATATTTAAATTATAATTAATCGGATGAACATAAAATATGTTAATATTGTAGTCTATCTGAGTACCTTATCGGAGTTCACGATCTTCACAGAGTTCGATTTTTAATGTTACATATGGAAATATGTTGTTCTATATAATATATTTCACTCTGAGACATAATGAGTTTCTAGGGATCTTTTTTGAATTACGAGAACACTCCACAATGTTACCTGAGCGCTTTAACATGCCCTCTTCCAAACGAGACTCGAGGAGAGTCCCAGCAGATTGTATAACTGCGTCCATGAGTGATGATGACCACTTACCATCAGGTGAGCCACATGGTTGCCTGTCTGTAAGGACTATAAATAACTAGGTCCTAGTTCACAATCGCCTACAATGTTATGGCCAAATACTCCGCATTTCATGACTAAATTAACCCATAAACACAGACCTCTGAGTTTCTCACCGAATATTCTCAGTGGATCGCATTTTCCGATCCGGTGGTAGATTCTGCGAAGAACTGCTCTTGCTAGGGCCAGTGTTAGCAACGCTCCCGGTTTGAGCTCCGTGAGCTTACCTACACGTCAAGGAGAAGCTGAAATAACCTCTCAAGGCTATCAGCATAGGTAGGAAAAAAACTGCATTTCGCTTTATTATATTCATGCGAACAAAACGCACGTATGTTAATGATTGTACCCACGTTCGTAACGACAACGCACCGGGCGCCACGTGTCTTGTCGTCATTAGTACACTGCTGAAAAGTTACTTTGTCTGCCTATCTTTTACTTTAGCTTCCAATCGACCTCCATTATAACGCAATAACAAATCTCTAGTTTTAAAAAATAAACTAGCAATAACTATTACGATACATTCGAAAATTTGACCTCATGTGCAAATAAATATTTATGAAAATAAATTCTTCAAAATACTAACGATCAACTTGTCAATTTTATCGCAGAAATTATAGCTCATTTCCGAGTACGATGTTAGCCGACTTGTTAGCCGAGCAAATATTATGTAATGGACTCTAATCAACCGGAGTACCGCAATTATATTAAGGCGAAGCCGTTTATTTATATCATGGACCGGTAAACGATCTGACTACCTACCGACCTAGCGTAAAGTGGCTATTAGAGCCCATAACCGTGACTGTCAGAATCCAGCTCGAGATAATAGCGAAGTCACAGTTGTATTCTATGAGGACTGCCTCGTGCTGTAGCCACAACGCATGGCGGCCTCGTGATGCAAATAGGCGGAGTGGTTGTAAGTACCCGTGTGGGCCTATAATACGTCCTGTCATCTGTAGGTAAGCATACTACCAAACCCATACATCAGCCCTCTGAGTTTCTCGCCGGATCTTCTTAGCGGGTCACGATTCCGATTCGGTAATAGATGCATTCACGAAGCAGCTGCCCTTGAGCTAATTAAGTTTGCTTCGGAGGCCTTCGGGCAGCTACTAGCAAATCTCACCTCTCCTGGCTGAGCAGGTGCTCGCCCACATGTCCTGGTAAAGCTGAAAAGGCCTACAGGCCGCCAGTAATCCCTCTCTTCTAAAAATTAAGATAATCTTTGCAGACCTTACTTAGTAGACCAATTAACGGCTACTAAATCTCATTACTGTGGGTGCAATAATAAAATCAAAACATCCAGAGTCAACGTTTGTCTGTTTATAAACTTCTTTACCTTTTGAAAAAATGTTGTGTTCGTTCATTTCATTGTATGAGGTTATGTTAGTACTGATGTAGCGCAACGAAATGGGCAGTTCACACGAACATTTCAAGAAACCTTGGATAACGGATGATTGATTGACGGTAGGCAGCGGCTTGGTTCTGCCCTTGGCATTGCTGAAGTCCATGGGCGTCGGTAACCACTCACCATCAAGTGGGCCGTATGCTCGCCTGCCAACAAGGGCATTAAAAAAATACTCAGAGAGCACCTACTGATGCTTATTGCTCAGTGCTCTGTGTATACAGTGCACACTTAAGTATTGCGAAAAACAACCGTAGGAATTAGCATAGATTGCACAAATATAAAAGGCTGATGAGAGACCGGAACGGCGTCGCCACCGCAACGGGCCTAAACGAATCTTTTAAAACGTAGTTATCACTTTATACAGTAGTAGGTTGTCCGTTCCAAACCTGACGAATCATCATACCTTATAGAATCCGTACAATTACGTCTTAGGTGACATACTCGTACATGGTTTAAATGAATGATTACGGTACGGACCGCGCATCTTGGGAATACGTGGATCCCCTTTGTAAAAGACCACAGAATAATATGTAGGTACATATGTTGTGGTAAAATGTCTCTTAAGTGGCTTTGTTTCACTTCCATTGCCGTAACGAATTCGCACAGCAGTATCGTGTTCCAATTATTTAATGTATTCGCACGCTTCAGTGAATTGAAGCTAATAAAAATACACGCCCCAAATTGATAACCTTGTCTTTATTTTATTTAGAAATCTGTTGAAACACTCAACGTGTCAAATGGGTTCACTTGTTCTACGTTGTGGATCAAAGAGAGTAACAACATTAGCAGCATCTATTAATAGTGAACACTACAGTGCGTTAATTCACATTATTTATCTAAACACCCGGCTCCGAATACTATAAACACACAGTTTGATGTTATTCCATAACATCGGCAGCTGTCGAGCTCATGATCCACCTAATGGCAAGCGATCATCATCCACCATCGCTGCTATGTGCCTGTAGGCCTGTGTAGCGTTTAACCTATTAATTATTTTTACCGTGACTTAACGGATGACACTGCAGCAACGTTGTTTTTACAATGTTTTATAATATAATTTATAGTACAATATAAAGTGATAAACTCCCCCTTAAAGACGACATAAACGCTGAAACCAATAAATCAAAGCCAGTGCAGAGAACAGCTCCGCCGTCATGAGTCTGATCATAAAAGAATTACCTAATTTTATATTTAGGTTCTTTGTGTCCAAGAAGCTAGGATATGTTACTGCGTTTTTGTGCTGGAGTCCAGGTACTTTTAACAAATTACAAGATTGTTCTAAAACTCAAGACGATAACCTACCAAACCAGACCAGGCAGGGCCGGGCTTAATTAAACTTAATGCCCCTCCTAGGCACGGGAAAAAAATCCGCCACAATACTGGCGGCATTTATTTAAAAAAAAAAAAAAACTAATTTATTGCAGAAATTCTTATATATTCCAAAAACATAAATAAATATTTGTTTTTTTTTTCTAACAATTATAAAGGACAATGCCCAAAAGTGGGCCAACTTTATGTCTAAACTATTTGTACTTGAAAAACTATGCCTTATTTTTTTACGTTGTTTAGTTTATGTATCAACATTTCTTTCGCCTAGGTATTGTTTTACAAAAAAATAAATTACTTATTTGATAACATCCCAAAACTTAGTGCCATAGTTTTTAAATTCGTCAATAGGCAAAGGGCTTGTTAGTCCATACAGCCTTATAGTAAACCTATATGCTGCCAAACGAAAGAGTTGTCTGTCACTTGAACAACAAATAAAAAGCTAATGGTTATAATTCACAGACTTTTTAGTTTATTTTTGTTCAATTCAATATGTATATATTGTAATGATAATTATTACTTAAAACCATGAGTTATTTTATTTAATATTTTTAGATATTAATGATTCCATTAGTAAAAATCTCAATGGCCTACCATTACTCTATTCTTATTATATATAATATGATCAGAGAGTTTTGGCAGCAACCCGAGTGAAGCGTCACTTGAAGTTTTATTTTAATGTTTTTTTAATAGTTAATTGTGTAATTTGTATTATTTTAATAATACAAATTGTATATTATTTGTATAATTAAGCAATAAAAAATATATATATATATATATATATATATATATTTGTATTTGTAATATTGTGTATAGAAGGTCTGCGTAAACTCATGCTCAGTCAATGTGGTATTCGTCGAGTTGACGTCAAAACTCCCAAAAAGCAATAAAAAGAGATACACCAGCTTTTTATTGACATAAAAAATATATAACTTCGACAGACTAGCCTGTATAGGCTACGCTCTTTGCCTGCTTATTGGTGAATTTAAAAACAACAACAACAATATCGTATGCCGNTTTTATTATTAATATGAGGATATAATAATAATAAAATGTACGTAAGGGCTTATTTCTAGCAACATTAACCACAATTAACTTATTTAATACTGTAAATAATTATGAGAGCGATTATTGATTTCGAAGAAAACAATTAACAACTTAATTTTAGCTGCAGAAAAAAACAGATTTCTCTTAAACCTGGGTGAGAATATAAAAATCGTTTTCTATATATGAAACGATATTTCTTTGTCTATCAAATTAAGTTAAAGCCATCATGACAGGACAACTTTTTTTAGGGGCCCAAACGCCCATACAAAATGGGCATTGTCCTTTGGAACAAAGGGTGACTCATAATAATATTACATAAAAAAAAAAACGTTATTAAATTTCTTTAATTCCAGACAATAGAAAAATCGATTATTATTTTAAATCTCCAAGGAAATAAATTGATTAAATCATTTTGATTATTAATTTTTACCAAAAGTGCCAAAATTATAATTTGCAAATAATGGATGAATTGAATTTCTTGAATTATCAATTAAAAAGAAAATTATGATTTGGAAAAAAAAAACACTTTTAATGTTGCCGCCTACAAAAAATTGTCGCTTTGAGCACTTGCCCCGACTGCCATTAGTGTAAATCCATCACTGAGTCCAAGGACATCGTAACGTAATTGGCTCATCTTAAGAAACAAAGTCGACTTCAATATAGTGTGATTGTGCATTTGAGAGAAATATTAAAAATAGAAAAAGGGTACATACCCAAACAAGAGTCTTCTTCTTTCTGGTCGTTCCCTCAATGCTGAGTGCGGATCGTGTATATCTGTATGTCAATCTTCTCCACTCGGTCCGGTTCTGCGCTATATATACCGCTCCCCGTATCTGGCTTCCAGTCATCTCCTTGAGTTGGTCCACCCATCTAGCTGGCGTTCTTCCTCTAGCGCGCTTCCCCTCCATTTATCCGATAATGATGAGTTTATGATAATAAACATAAATCAGCGACACATCGCTCCAAACATAAAGTTGTCTCTCTCTCTGGTTGTTTTCGTGTATCTCTGGAACCACTGGACGCATTTTTATATGCAGAATGTAGATTATTTTTAAGAATGCCAGCAAACACTATTTTATAAAAATCTACAAATCTCCAATTTAAATTCTTGAACAAATTGCAGAATCTTAACATTAGTTAATTAAATATTTCGTCACACCAGGTTACCTGTTGCAGTTTTCAAGGGTTGCTCGAGACGGTTCCCTCAGAGTTAACATTCAGAATGATTTCGCTAATGCACCGGAGCTACCGGCGTACGACTACCGCCGAGAAGGAGTTGTTTTGGACTTGAACTGCCCTAACTCTAAACTTATCCTTGAAAAGGTACGTAATGCAGACACACAGCGTCCCGTTTCGTGAGATAGATGAACGCAACTACTTCATCTTCTGTCCGTAGAAATAGTAAGTTGCCGTCATTTAGGAACCTGCCATTAGCTGAGTCAGACTACATCGTGAAGCCGTTTACTGGTGACTAAGCGTGCGCGGGTCGCTACCACCACCCTGCTTGTTTCTGTTGAAAAGTAGTCACGCGTCCCGTTAAAGACTGAACAAACAGTCTCCATCTATTATAACTTCAAACTTAGATACCACGTGGCAGTTGCGAAATCCACGTTGTTATATCTAGTAATTCCTATGATCGCTTAATATCAGATAGAACGCGAGTTGGTCTGCTCGTTTACGCTGATAAATCTGTAAAATAAATCAAAAACATTTTAGGCATCCAAAAACCGGGCATTTATTCACCGCTACACGTGGCTTCTCATTCATAACTCTACGTACAAGTTGGAAACAATCCAGAAGATTCTATCGGACGCGGCTGTACTCCCTGACGCGGACGTCACCTGGTGCGCCGCAGACGACATACTCGATATTCATAGACTCAACGAACACCAACCCTATGTCGTGATGGACTTGGGCTTATCTGTTAATAGCACTGTTGAGGGTCTGGACGCTGTGTGGAGCACAATACCGACAGCAGCTACCAGGAGGAGGCATTTAAATAACTTAACCATAAACGCTGTTGTCATTGTAAGTCTCATAATTAGTCATCTTTTACATCTATTGAAATAAAATATAATATTAAAATAATTGAACGACTAGACTTCGCACATTCAAAGGCCAACACATGACAACAAAACAAAAACCAAAATTGCACCTCGAAAACCAAATGTGTTACACAAAAATTGGCCAGGGATCAAACCCGAACCTCGTGAGCAACCACTGGACCTACGTGGCCAAAAATTATTAACGTAAATGGTGGTCTTATAGGTTAGCGAGATTCTTTTCAGGTAACTCTGTACATAAGAACTGTTACATGAATAAAAAAAGATAATTTTCTAAACAGAAATGAACAATAGTAACAAAGAATATAGGTACGACAAAAATATTTAAGTATGTAAGTTAAAAAAAAAACTACTTAAATTTAACTTTAGTAGAAGGCCGGGGCTTGGCTGTGCTCCGGGCATTGCTGATCTCCACGACCGACAGTGGCTACTTCGCCTCATGCAGGCAGAATACATTATGCTTACATTTAAATATATATATATATATATATATAAAATATTTTTCAATGACGTGATAGCTGTGGCTTCCACATAAGTGGGCTATTCACGTAAGAAGCATTATTGGAGTGCGCAGTACTGCAGTACTGAACAGTTCCCCCTGGCCGTAGGTCTCACAGCCGCAGTACTTCAAGGGCTGGTCGGACCTCTCCAACAGACAGATCGACACTTTTCCGAAACTGACGTACCCGATGCTGATGCTCTCTGCAGAAGACTTGCGTTTCCGGTGAGCACCCACTCACTCACCTAAGGTATCATCTCTATTCTTAAACGTTTAAGATTAATTGTTCATATAAAATTGTTAGTCTTAATAAAATAGAGATGATTCTCGTGTCATTTTTTTAATTTTTTAGAGTCAACAACGGCGTGATTAGATTTAATGAACGGATAATGGGAAAACTGTGTGAGGGCGTCATAGTTGTTTGCACATTTTGGACAGTAGTAGCATTCTAATCAACATTGTCACGTCATTTTGGTACATTATATAATTTTTATGTAAACGTAATAATAATGTAATATATAAAGTAATAATAACAACAATGTTCAGTTTGTAAAAATATTTTTCATGGCTCGTAAAACAAAGAAAACACAATAAAGCTAAATCTCGCAGATGAAAAACAAAATTATAAACAGGCTCTGTACCGCTAGAAATAACTCAAATATTCGTTTACACAGTCAAACTATTATATTATTTAAAGGAATGAAACCAATTGAGCGAACCCCAGGGCAGACCACGATAGGCCAGTTTAGCTGCTAGCGCCTGACAAATATGAAATATTCTATCCACACCTACTTTGCGAACAGGCTTCCTTAGGCTCACATTTAATAAATGCTTATTTAATCGATTTTTCAACACGTTTTCATTAGCAATCTTTGAACATGATTTTCACCCCCTTCAAAATGTCGGATCGATTTGAAACTTGGCGCAACGACCGCTGGCATGATGATCATTTAATAAAATAGTTTCATTGACGGTCCGGCCTCTTGGAACACGGTAGCGTCTTACGCCACGTACTAGGCGTGTACGCACCTGCTGCCTTTATTGGATATGATAGCCGTGCCCCATGCCATGGGTGGTAGGACGTCTTGTGAGTCCGCAAGGGTAGGTGTACCGCTGCGCTGGCTATTTCTGCCGTGAAGCAGTAATGCGTTTCGGTTTGAAGGGAAGGGCAGCGTTAGACCTTAGAACTCATATCTCAAGGTGGGTGACGGCATTTACGTGGCATATGTCTAACCGGTAACCACTTAACACCAGATGGGCTGGGAGCTCGTCTAACCGTCTATGCAATAAATAAATAAATAATAATTATACCTCCACCAGAATCGAACCCTAATTCCCACTACATGCTACGCTACACGCGCGGTGGTCATAGAACTGGTGATGCGTTGAGTGAAATGGTTAGATTATGAAAGAATCATAGAACGACTTAATAATATGTTTTCACTAATATGATGCAGTAAAAGCCCATTCTTGTTTACTATGTTAACTATCATCGTTATAGAATAAAATTGCAAACACACAATAGTATAAAAAACACGCATTGGTAATGAGGTGCTTTTAATATATTTTTTAATTTAACCTTTTATTTTTGATGCCTGTTGATTCTAAGGAACTCTATACCGCCCTCTCTTCTCTTCCTATCAATAAATTCGTAACTCGCATCTCAGCCAGCAGACAACGTAGCAACAAACAGCTACTACAGAGACAGTCATCTATACTAATTTAAAAATCTACAGTGGTTTTTACGGATGTTCCGTTATAACTACTGAACCATGCATCTGATTGACTTGAAACTTGGTATTCATGTAGAAAATGCATGTACTTAATGGATAGGCTTATATTTATATGAGTGTTGGACTCGCTACACCAGTTGTGGGGGCGTTAACGATGAGAATCTTTTTTGGGGTGTGAGAAATAATAATGTTATTTTTAAATGCCCAGCGAAGCGGACGGGTGCAGCTTGTATTATATAAAGTTAAAAGTTTGCGGCTCAAACCAACTTAATGAAATACTGATTTTGCTTCACGTTTAGGTTTAATCTCAAGCAAGTGGACGAGTACGGCGTGGAGTTGAATGGGTCATTCACGGGCACGGTCGGGCTGCTGCAGCGCGGCCGGGCGGAGCTCGGAGTGGCCTCCATGTTCATGAGGTCCGACCGCTGGAGGGTGCTGCACTTTAGCTCTGAGACTGTAGCGGTGCTGTAAGTTGTCTCAGATTCTCGCCACAATGCTGTTTCTGCCGTCGTTTATGATTTGATCAGAGCCCTATCTCGATGGATCCTGATTTTGAGCCATCTCATTACTGGTGGTAAGACCTCTTGTGAGTCCGCACGGGCAGGGTACCTGCCACCCTGCCTATTTCTGCTGTGAAGAAGTAATGCGTTTCAGTTTGAAGGGTGGGGCAGCCGTTGAAACTATACTTGAGACCTTAGTACTTATATCTCAAGGTGGGTGGCGCATTTACGTTGTAGGGTTCCAGTATCCACTTAACACCAGATGGGCTGTGAGCTCGTCCACCCATCTAAGCAATATTTTTTTTTATCTAATATGCTCCTGGAAAAGTGACCGGCTTTTGTTTTACATATATGTGTGATGTCCCTTAATGAATGTGTTCCAGTAACGCGTTCATGTTCCGAGCCCCAGCGCAGTCGTCGGTGTCCAACATATTCCTGCTGCCGCTGAGTCGCGGAGTGTGGTGCTGCGCCGCCGCCCTGCTCTGCAGCAGCGCGGTGCTGCTGGCCGTCCTGTCCAGCCGACTTGTCGCTACGGACCCTACCCTGGAGCTGCTGACCCTCCCCGAAATATTTGTATTCTCCATCGGAACTGTTTGTCAACAAGGTCATCTTTCTTCGATTGATTAAGAATTACCTCTGATTAAGGAAGGTTGCGAATTTGGTAGCTCGTCGGAATTTGAAAAGAAACCAAATTAAAAGCATTATTTCAACACTTCCCAGGGTTCTACATCATGCCGAAGCTGTCATCAATCCGCATGATAATGTTCCTAACTCTGCTGACGTCATTATTCACATTCACTGCGTACTCCGCGAAGATCGTGGCCATCCTGCAGACCCCCAGCGCCGCGGTGAGGACGGTGGCCGACCTCGCTGACTCGCACATGGACGTGGGCATTCAGGAGACCACCTATAAGAAGGTTTACTACGCTGTGAGTGATCGCAGATTCAACTTAAATTTGTGTGCGTAAGCTTTTGTATAATTAATGATGTCGAAAAATGTTGAGCTTGAGGCATGAGGTCTAATACCGTCCCTCACGCGCTACGCCGCGGCGGTCCCGCCTCGACCGCTGTACTCTTGTATACATAGGCAGCACTGAAAATTTCGGGAATTAACGAAGTGACACAACATTACTATTTAAAAATGTATTTATTGCTTTTCGAAGTATTCTCCGCGAAATTTGACACATTTTTCCATACGATGGAACCAATCATTGAAGCAACCATTCCATTCGGAAGTTGGGGTCTCCAAAATGGCCGTTTTGTAGGCGTCCACAGATTCTTCAGGTGATGAAAATCTCTGTCCACGCAATTTATTCTTTATTTTAGGGAAAGTATAGAAATCATTAGGGCTTAGGTCGGGGCTGTACGGCGGATGGTCTAATAATTCTATGTTTTCTTGCTCTAAAAACTCTTTTGTTCTGTGCGCGGTGTGAGAACTCGCATTGTCGTGATGGAGGATGATGCGGCGGTTGCAGTTCTCTTTACGGAGTTCAGAAACGACCTGTGGCAAACAAATGCTAGCATACCATTCTGCATTAACCGTTCTTTGTCCCTTAAGAGGAATAGTCGTAACATGGCTGGTTTTGGAGACAAACGTGGCCACAATTTTTTTTGCAACACTCCGTGAACGAACGATTTTTGTTGGCTTTAACTCATTTTCGAACACCCAAACTCGTGACTGGTTTTTTGTTTCGGGTTCGTACGCGTATATCTAGGATTCGTCACCTGATACAATGTTGTATACAGCATTTGAGGATCTTGGGGGGAATCTTTCGAGAGTTCTGACGCACCAAGTAACGCGAGCCGCTTTTTGCTCTTCACAGAGCGAATGCGGTATCCATCGGGAAAACAACTTTTTTACACCTAATTGTTAATGCAAGATTATTTGTATTTGACTCATGCCAATGTCTAAAGTTGCCTGAATTTCGCGGTATGTCACATGTCGATCTTCCTCAATCAGCTTACGCACAACATCAACGTTTTCTTGGGTGACTGCAGTTTTTGGACGACCTTGACGGGGATCATCACTGAGCCTGACACGTCCACGTTAAAACTCAGCAAACCAGCGATAAATTGTGGTTTTGGATGGGGCTTCATCACCAAATGCAGAAATCATCCGGTCAACACACTGTTTTTGTGTTAAACCACTTCGAAAGTCATAATAAATCATCGCTCTTGAATTTTCTCGAGTCATTTCCATTTTCTCAACGACTAAACAAGTTTGACAAAACCTCGTGACAAGACCGAGAATCTTTTTTAAAATAAATAAATTGTATTCGATTTTTAAAACCAAGGAGTTTTCAATTAAAAAGATTTTAATATGACAGGAACAGTGGAAATATTCCATTCCCGATACTTTTAGTGCAGCCCTCGTATTATTACATCCTGTTAAGGTATGTTTGGTCGATTATATTTCTCACAATTACGAGATATAATGTCGGATATCCATGACTTTGGCATGTTAAAACATTACATTTCAAAACTCAAAATTGCGGATTGTAATTACTTCTGAGGTGTTGGTGATTTTCTTTGTGACTGAGTTAAGATTTATTTTAATTCCCGATCTAACAATTATGGTCTAGACTCTAGACTGTAGAGGTCGAGATCCTGAGAACGAAATAACGAAACTGCGTGTATTCGGCGTTAAAAAGTGTTCTTGGCACGACTGAGAAGACGTCCATCCGACTTCGTGGGCGGTCGGAGCACAACACTTCTGTTTACCGTCTGGGCTTCAAGTCTAATTGCTTAACAGCATGGTCCGTAGGAACACCCCTATTAGGATAATATCTTTTATGCAAGGGCATTCTGAACTCCTACGAGTTGTTCTTCACTCAGGAGAGCACGGACCCCAGCATCCTCCGTCTGTTCCATCGCAAGGTGGCTCCGCTGGGCGAGCGCGTCTACATGTCCGTGGTGGAAGGAGTCGAACGCATGAGGACTGGACTCTTCGCTTTTCAGGTCATTTGAGATTAATTAAATAGTGTTGCTGATTAATAAGGCATTTAGTTATGTAACTATATACTTTATACTTTTTTAATAAATCAAAACATATATATTTACTTTTCCCCACCGGCTGGCCGACTCATCAGTGCACGGCCTAACCTGCTGTCCTGTACTGATGGCAGCTGAAGTCTATTATGTTGTAACCATCTAAGAATGTTTACTTCACACTTTTATGTCATTTGTCGCGATGAAAAATATTTTATGTTTAAAAAATATTTTATCAAGACGGTAATTTTTTTTTATTGCTTGCTTAGATGGATGGACGAGCTCACAGCCCACCTGGTGTTCGGTGGTTGCTGGAGCCCACAGACTTCTTTAACATAAATGCGCCACCCACCCTGAGATAAAGGTTCTAAGGTCTCAGTATAGTTACAACGGCTGCCCCACCCTTCAAGCCGAAACGCATTACTGCTTCGCGGCAGAAATAGGCAGGGCGGTGGTACCTACCCGTGCGGACTCACATGAGGTCCTACCACCAGTTATTTTATTGCAAATTTTCTTCCAAATCCGATGGGACATTTTTGCGTAATGCAGTAACAAGCATAGAAAGCATTACATTTATAGTTTTGTGCTAATAAACCTCGAAGCAAGTCTCCGTGTTTCCATTATTATAGAAATATATGTACACAAATTGTCGATGTTCCACAGACTCGTTTCATGTTTCTGTTTGTTGCTCGCAAAATCTTGCAGGTGGAACGCAGTTCTGGGTATGAAATCATCAGCAAGACATTTACCGAAAGCGAAAAGTGTGGTCTGATGGAGATCGAAGCGTTCAAGCTGCCGATGGTGGCCGTGCCGCTCAGGAAGCACTCCGGATACCGGGAGCTGTTCGGCACGAGGTACGCTGTCGCAACCAGTCACAAACTCACCACATTAGGCCTTCTTATTGCGAGTAACAGCTGAACTTGAACGCCCCCTGTACAGATTCCCAACGTATTTAATGGAGAATCGTACGGTGTGCTAGTTTTTCACTTCGAGAGTTGGAGTTTATACGGGTAGTTGAGTGGTACAATCGGTAGTTACGGTAGGCAGCGGCTTGACTTTGCCCCTGGCATTGCTGAAGTCCATGGGCGACGGCAACCACTCACCATCAGGTGGGCCGTATGTTCGTCGGCCTACAAGAGCAATAAAAAAAAGCAAATCGGGTCATCAGAGAGATGAGAACACACAGCAGGAAATGCACGAAGATCCAAGACCTCCATAGGCCCAGAGTCTGTAAGCGAGGAACGACAACAGATCAACTAGTTACAGCTAAGAACGTGTGTGTGTGTGTGTGTGTGTGCAGGTTGCGTTGGCAGCGCGAGGTGGGGCTGATGTCGCGGGTCCGCGCCATATGGCTGGCGGCCCGGCCGCGCTGTGAAGGTCGCGGTGTTGGCTTCCGGGCGGTACGGCTGCTCGACATGCTGCCTGCCCTACAGGTGTGGCGCGTGACTGCACTACCTCACGTGTGTAAAGATGCGAAGGGTGTGCTGGCAAATAGCACCAGGGGCACAAAGCATACCACCTTTTTTCCGACACAAAACTGGAATTTGTAGTCCCCTCTTATAGCGCTGCACTCACAGAGTCCGTTTCGTCAACAGATGCTCGCAGCTGGGGGACTGGTTGCCGTCGTTTTACTCATCCTAGAAAATGTATATCACCACTACTCCAGAACAGGGAATGTTTTGCGTCGGTAAGGTCTAAACGTGTGTCCGGTTCAATCTCTGCGGCTTTTGTATCTTGAGGCACCAGTTGATGAAAACTACATGTTGATAAAATACCAGATATGAGCTAAGGCCTTAATCCAAATACCTGCGGAGTCCTTTCGTCCGCACCAGGTTTGCTCAGCAAGGGCGTGCGGTCAGGCTCACTCCTCGTATCGAGAGACTGCCGGAGAGCTACCAGAGCTCGCAAACTACTTTTAACATTCTTCAAAATATTCCTAATTCTAGTGCCTATATAATTCCTTCTATTCCTATGTTGAGTCGGTACTACTAGTAACTATGTGTTGTGGGCTCGAGATTTACTTGCTCCCGCTCACTTCTATTGCAAACTAATCGTGCGTTACGTGTTATTGTAATGCAATTAAGGCCTTCGTTTCATATCTCGTCGTAAAGTTGACAGAATCAATGCCAACACATCTCCAGGTGTCCCGGGAATCTGTCTCGGCCACATTAGTGAAATAACTTGCAATGCGGGTAGAAAGTGACTTATTTCACTGTTTGGGCCAAATAAGATTGTCCGAAAAACCAAATATTTTATTTCATTAAAACGAATACCTATAATATATTTACTCAAGAAGTTGCTGTGTACATGCTGTGTGCTGTGTAGAGATACTTCATAAAGTCAAAAAAGGAATAAACTGTAGTAGGTCAGTAAATGGAAAACAATTACGTTTATTTCGCAGCTAGAGTTTATTGTTTAAGTGCGCTTTTTATAATATTACGTCCCAGGAGCACGGCACTTCCATCCGCGGTCGTGGCTGCAGTATGGATCCCTTAGATTGTAGAAGGATCGGGTAGGAGCTGGTCAGAAGCAGTAGACGAGCACGAGCAGCAGCAGCGCGAGCAGCAGCAGCAGCAGCAGCGCCCGGTCCAGCACGCGGCCGCACGCGCCCCACCACGCGCTCTGCTCGCACGACCACTCCTGCAACACGCGCGCCCGCACTCCTCGCTACTGTACCGTCCGACGCCGTCAGACAGCTTTTTTTTATCCTACCTATGCTGATAGCCTTGAGAGGCTATTTCAGCTTCACCCTAGCGTGTGTAGGTGAGCTCACGGGGCTCAAACCGGAATGTTGCTAACACTGACCCTAGCAAGAGCAGTGCCTCGCAGAATCTACCACCGGATCGGAAACGTGACCCCTGAGAAAATCCGGCGAAAAACTCAGTGGGCTGTGTCTATGGGTTAATTCGCTCGTCGAGCCTTTCGTCGCAAGCGACGGGTTCAACGAGGACGGTGACCGGTGCTTGTGGTACCTTTTAGGTTACCACTTGTGGCACCGTTAATGGATCGGGTGTCAAACAGCGCGACACAGAAGTCGACATGCCGATTGCAACAGAATAATAATTGTCTTACTGTGCAAACCAGGATTGGTTGATGGCAGGACTTTGCGAATATATTTTGTACTGAGCGCCACAAAATTACTTCGAAAAACATTCATCTTTTTTAACGTAGGTACGATTTAATGAGAGAGAAAGAGAGATCATTGCAAAAAAACAGCTAAGTGCTTAGGATCTGTATACAGAGGTAGCGCTGAAAACATATTTAATAAAATGTAAAATTTTGAAACGAAAATATATGCGGTTTTAACTTAGGTACCTATAATTTTAAAAAAGATGTGTTGGGTCGTGGGGCGCCGGATTGGTACGAAGTTCCTTATTATAAAAATATTAAATTTAAGTTCCATTCGAGGTAAGAAAATAAAACTGGAGGTTTCGCAACAACCCACGGTCATTCGGTAACGTGCGAACTTATTGTGGTACACTTCATTCACGGTTGTTTGCATAAGAGTTAGTGTATTGCGCAAACGAACGCTCTGAGATCGTGGTCAATAAATGATAAAAAAATATGTTATTTTTTGTACTCTATTACAAAGTTAAGTCGTACACTGTTTGTATTACTAATAAAAATCTTACGTTACGGACGTTTTTCCCGCTTAGGGTACCCCTCCGCATCGTCCCATAAGGAACTTCGTTCCAAAAATCCAGAGAAAGATACAAATACTGTTATACATTTCAAATTGACTTAGGAATTGTATGTGGTACTGACCGGTAGTGGAGTGAGGTCACAAGTATTAGAGAGGTTGGAGATGAGGCTCCGGAGCGGCGGGGGCGGCGCGCGGCGGCAGCGCTGCACGCGACACACGAGCGCCGCCGCCGCACAGCACGCCGCCGCGCACACCGCCGCCGCCGCCTGCACGCGCGACACCCGCGGCGCGCTGCCCGCCTCGCCCAGCCGGCTCGACACCGACATCTGCCTGCGCACACAACTGCACCTCAACGCACGACCCCATCCAACTGTCTCAGGCTTATTTTATTCAATGCTCTAGTTTTATTACTAGCTACAATGGGCAGATTGTGGTAGGTCCTCTTGTGATACCGCACGGGTAGGTACCACAACCCCGTCTATTTATGCTGTGAAGCAGTAATGCGTTTCGATTTGAAGGGTGGGGCAGCCGTTGTGACTATACTTGAGACCTTAGAACTTATATCTCAAGGTGGGTGGCGCATTTACGTTGTAGATGTCTATGGGTTCCAGTAACCACTTAACACTAGGTGGGCTGTGAGCTCGTCCACACATCATAGCAATAAAAAAGAGGATGCTCGAGACATATGTAACTTTTCGATTTCCACGGACAAATATTACCGGATGACCGGTGAGAGTATTACTAGTACATGCAAGCACTGGGGAGGAATTAACAGTACTGCTAGGAGTCTAAGGCAGACCCAACGTCATCTAGACCATTAGTGCAGGCCGGCCGCGCTTCACCGACACTGCAGATTTTACCATAATATAGAGATGAACGCGGAAACCGCGGCTAGTGGTGGTCTAGTGGCAGGCGGCAAGGCAGCCGCGGAGAGCAGGAGCAGGAGCACCACGGCGAACACGGCGCCGGCCGCCAGCGCGTGTGCCGGGGCGCGTCTCCGGAAAGACATCTGGAACATTGCCACGCGAGCTTCCACCTCGCCACGGTCCTGGCTCTGCACCGCACTGGACAGAGCCGTCACATCCCACGCTCCTGACTCGAACATACTGTATATCTTGAACATTATATTTAATTTTTAATGAGTGATCATTATGAATATCCATTTTCTTTATATCATAATAATATAAAAATAACTCACTCTTTTGTCAATCACGAAATCCATTTCGTCACTATTGTGCATCCTAGAACCGAACTTGAACGTGCAAGTCTGCATGTCGTTGGGCCAATTGTCTAACTGCATAGAAATTGGAGTGCTAATGTCCAAGCGCTTTATCCAGGAGACGGAGCCGTTATTAGATACACGGGCGCGGAGAGCGTAGTCCCCGGCGGTGGTTGCAGCCGCGTTTAGCAGTACCACGTCAGGCCTCCACAAGCGTTCCGAGGACACCAGCCAAGTGCTGCAGCCCCACTCCCCTGCGTTCCAACTCAGTCGTTTGTCGATCCAATTCTGTAACAGTAAATTAAAGGTCCATTAATTAGGTACACAGGTTGATTTTGGACTCCGATACCTCTAAATATCTCCCCTGTCTCGTGGCACCGAATTAGTTCGGTAGCATCTGATATTAAATACTTGTTGTACTTCGTTCAATATAGCCTTTTAGCTATAGGTATTAGCAATGAGCTCCAGTAGCCTCTGATTATTAATAATGCGTATGAATTTGGAACATGGTTTCAAGAAATCATAACTTAGTGTACGCCTTGTGTACATACCATTTGAAGATCTGCCTGTATTCGCACGGTGGACTCGGACTCACGAATGTTAGCATGTCTCAAATGCAGGGTCAGGTTGACTACGATTTTGGAGTCGGGGGGGGAGTCCCGATCGTACGTTGCGAGGAGCGAGTCGATCATGAGGGACAGTGATGTTGCGTTTTCGCATTCTGCCGCACTAGCTATAGCTGGAAAATATATGATTAGATGATGATTTTGAGGTCAGAAGATTTTAACAATAAGTTATGCAATCCAGCAGTAAAAATTAAATCTCGGTATTAGGACATATCGAAATGTTTTTAAATTGGTATGCTATAAATGCTATACATTTCTGAACTAATATGGATAAAGCCAGATAAATCTAACCCAGGCTCCGTAAAAATCAACTCAGATTTTTATTTCGAGCTTCCACGGAGCAGGGCATGCACTTACTTAAGACGAACTGAGCTGATAACACAATCTTATGCAAAGTATTCTCTCATGGAGTAAATACATCGTATGATTACGGAAGTACTGAATAAACACATTTGGCGATGGCAACCGGAAACAATATTTAGGACCTTATGCCCAAACCCTCCTTGTCTCTAAAAATCTAAGTTAGCACAGGAAGGATCAGCTTGCCCTGTTATCGGGAGGTTGTGAAATGTGATTGCGGACTTTTGAAACAGTCAGCTTCTCGTAGTTTGGTACCTACTATACGTCGTATTAGTTTAATGTTAAAAGTGACAAATTATAGTAAAGACAAGTCAAGTATCATAGTAATTTGTATTCTTGTTAAACTTACCACAAGTGAGGAGAAACGGTAACAGAATAATATAAGTCGTCGACATTTTATGACAACTGATCTATTGAAGCTATCCCGAGTGAATGGTAGACCGTGCAGAGGTCGCAAACATTAGATGCATAATCATTTTTCTTTCTTCGGCCACAAACTTATTCTGCTCTACTATTCAGTTTTCGATAGCTCCACATGCTTGCATAATCAGCTTAATATAACATGAAGGGAGGACTGACGCCCTGATCATTTTCTTAAAAAGCGTGACGTCATCAATGGTGACGTCATTACCCTCACCATCCATTATCATCTCTCTTGTCCTTTTTTTGGGATGGAGGTGTAAGTATTCTAGCTACGCCCGGACGGGTAAACGAGCTCACGGCCTAACCGATGTTAAGTGGTTACCGAAGCCCATAGACATTTACAACGTAAATGCCGCTATCTACGTTGAGACACAAGTTCTAATGTCTCAGTTTTTACAGTTCAACGGTTGCTCCATTCTTCGAACCGAAACCCACTACTGCTTTACGGCAGATATAGGCAGGGTGGCGGCACCTAGTCGTGCGGACTCAGAAGATATCCTACCATCATTAAAGAGCGCACACACGCAAGCTAAACTTAAATAATATGTAGTTCTTCTATGTAGGATAGCAGACCTTACGACACCACATGAATAGCTCGCGCTGAGCTTGCTGCGCGACGACGTGTGGGTGCATACGATCAAAATAGGCAAATGAGAAATCTATAAAATTAGCTTGGCGCTAATTTATATAATCTTCTTCTTCTTCTTCTTTCTTTCCTATTACCCTCTGCTGGGGTGTAGGGCTCGAATCAAATCCTTCCATCTACATCGGTGTTGGGCAGTCTGTTCTAGCTCCTCCCACGTTATGCCCAAGACCCCTAGCTCCTGCTCCGCCGAGCGACGCCAAGTTGTTCTGGGACGGCCTCTCTTCCTTTTGCCAGATACTTTCCAGGTCAATGCTCTCTTCGATAAGTGGATTTAGATAATACACTATTAAAATGTATACAGGAAATTGTTGTTGCTCTCTGACAGCGGGGTGCGTAGGCGCATTATCTGCGAGGGTTTCCGTCTATCCAAGGACAATTCACATTTCGCTCGGATACCAAACATACAAATGTAATGAACCTCAGTTAAAATATTAACGTTAGCTTGACTAAATTTCAACTTAATTACTGAATCCTGAATGGACCGGCCCGTTGCCAATAACCGACGATGACATTGAAACACACAGCTTTATTTTATTTTATTATTTAGGTGGGTGGACAAATTCACGGCCCACCTGGTGTTAAGCGGTTCCCAGAGCCCATGGACATCTACAACGCAAATGCCGCCACCTACCTTGAGATATAAGTTTTAAGGTCTCAGTATAGTTACAACGGCTACCCCACCCTTCAAACCGAAACGCTTCACGGCAGAAATAGGCAGGGCGGTGGTATACCCGTGCGGACTCACAAGAAGTCCTACCACCAGTATAGTGTAAGTATAATGATAAGTTGTTAGACGGATAATAGAGTTCACAGCCAACCTGATGTTAAATGGTTACTTAAGTGGTGCCTTGAGACTCGAATTCTATGTGTCTCCAGTGCATAGTGAATACGCAAGTTATAAGTTTTGCGGGTTTAACACACATTTTGATTCACATGAAATTATCCTTTCTCGGCGAACGTCAGTTATGAGGTAAGTCCATATCTCATTAGAACAATGAATAACTGCTTGCGGGCTCTGAACACCAACACAGTCGCATCGTTCGATACGAGTAGGTACACCACGCGTACCGGATCGGAATTGCGACCTACTGAGAAGATTCGGAGAGAAACTCAGTGGACTGTGCCTATGGAGTAGTTTGTAGGTCGAACTCTACGTCTTAATCGACGAAGACAGTAACCGGTGCTTGAAGAGCGTAAAAGCAACGAGATTGTATCCGGGGGATGCGATAAGACATGATTTGGGCGACAACGACTTTGCTTTGCTCCACGGCTCGGATCAGATTTGTAATTAGCGGCAGCCACGATAAGTGGGTTATCGCGTCAGGACGCTTTGTCGAAGTAGCGTTCTGACGCTTATGATACTTATGTACCGATTCTAAATTTAGATTGTCGTGAAGATCGATATTCCTTATGTACCGCGGTGCTCCGATGGCTATCCTGCAGAAGCGGGATTGGATAGCTCGGAGATAATTCAGGGGCATGCGGGCCGCGTGAGCGAACACTACACTTGTATGGGTCATTAAGGAATGTAGGCAAGTTTTGTAGAGTGTGCCTAATAGAGTACCTACATTCACTGAAGATCGTTCAAAAAAGCTACAACTCCTAGACCATCATGGTTCGTCACTGTATGTCTTTATATCTCGCAGCATACAACTGTTTATTTTGTATATAATTTTTAAGCATTCAATTACTTAGAATTTGAACTTAACGACTTCCGCGGCGAATGAGTAGCAGTGCAGCAGCATGGTGGAGGGAGGAGCACCAGTATCTACATACATAGGTAGTGACACATCGTGTAAGAACAAAGGAACTTTATTAGGATGCCAGAATCAACACTATGCCGTACATACAGTCAACAACAAAACAATTGTTCTTAAAGCAAATTATACGTTAACTTAAACTATATTACAGACAACTGAGACAACAGCAAACTCGATAACACTTTACCATTTTATTAATCGTACAGAAAATATTGGATCAAGTCCGAGATAGAAATTTTAATGAGTACCTATTTACTACAGTGAATTGTAACAGTATTATTTACGGTCCTAATTTGATGACAGAATATTATTTATTACAACAAAATATATACCTAGACCTAAGTACTTAGGAGTTATTTTTACATATCATAGGAACACAAGACTGAAGTGACTTACAAACTTTTAATTACATCATCAATAATAATCGTAGCTAAGTAAATTGAAGTTTTTTTTTATTGTCCGTGTTGGCGGACGAGCGTACTGCCCACCTGATGGTTAGTGGTTAGCGTCTTTCATGGACGTTAGCAATGCCAGAGGCAGAGCTAAGCCGCTGCCTACCGCCTAATACTCTCCACATTTCAATATTCTACATACATAGTTACTTATATAAACATTTAACATATTGAGTGAGTTGTTTTCAATGTTTCCAGCAAACGGCTACGGGGTGTGGTGGCACGTGTTGGTATATTGGTATAGTACAGTACATAGTATTCATTGCCCTTGTCTATTTCTTCCTCATTAAAACCGGGTATAGGATTTTCAAGATTGAAAACATACTTATGTTTTAATTTGATGTTAACTTTATTGAATAACTAGATGTGTTCTGCAGTTTCATTTAACATTAAATTTAGTGATTCTAAAATATTATTATGTAATGAGAGGGTCCACATTCCTGCACGGAACGTATTATTTTCCACGTTAGGCTGTTACGTAGAGGGCGCCCTCACTGCACACTCATTTATTATCTTTCATATATTTATGATCAATTTACATAATAAATTATTACTTTTTTATGATTGTCGTTTCTTTCCAATATAACTTTATTGGTGTTAAAAACGTGAAATGAATATATATTTTTAATTAGTAACAAAATCAAAAGTGAAACCGTAAAATGTAAAATGCAAATAGAAATGTATAATATGTAAGTATACTAAGGTACCTCAAGATGAATACTGACAGTTTTGCTAGTTATTGCGTATGTAATTGCTTCACAAAAAGTACATTTAATCATCTATCCCATTATTTGCAAGTGATATATGTCTGAAACTTGGCCTTGTCAGATTTTAACAAACAAGAAAACTGATCCACAATACTTCTCGATCGTACATCGATACGTCGATGCCACTATTACATAAATCCATGAGATTCGGAGCTAAGTATCTCTACATTATTATCTAAGTATATTATTTATTGTAACGGGACATTGCAGACCTCTAATATTTGTAATTATTGCTAACCTATGACACAACATTTACAATGGAAACCTTTAAAAATAGCTTTACTTAAAAATAAATGTAATTAAAAAGATTTTTTGTATAAAATAAAGTCGCAACGGATAACAAAACAAACATTAATATAAACTGAATAATATATTCAAGTTAAACTTGCATAACAGTTGTACGATCACCGGTACTTGTGAAAACTTATTACTAAGAGTCGGTTAAGATCATTTATTAATACAGTGGCGCATACATTATCTTCATTTCACTGGTCTACTCATTTCCGACGGAAGCATTCGAGTTTTCCAATTAAAAGGGTAGGATAACTAACTACGAATCTTATATCTTACAATCTAATGGGCCCCCACCTTGACTCTGGGGCGGGCAATCCGTCCGGTATGCATTTAAGGCGATGGGCCGTGAGTTGTCCTGCTTGATAGTTAGCTTGTCGTAAATTGAGCCTTGAATGGAGCCTTAATGAATTTGCGTTCAACAGACGTGTGATCAAGCTCGCAGCGCACCTAGCGTTAACTGGTTACAGAAGCTACATCACAACACGTCCCCCATCACCACATAAGTGCCTCTATTGTACGTAATATTTTATATTACTTTTTTGCCGTATAGGCAGACGAGCAGACGGCCCACCTGAGTAGTTACCGACGACAGCAATGCCAGCGGCAGAGCCAAGCCGCTGCCTACAAATCCGCGCTTTCCACCGATCGAATCGGAGCGCGTGATTGCCGGGGAGTGACGTGGACCGTGTGCCCTACAACACCAATAGTTACACATATTTTGCGGGTTATTAGATTTTTTTACTTCTACTACTTGTCTTGTCCTCCGACAATAAACGTCGCCATTCATCCCGGCGCTGCACAACACCCTGCCAGTCCGACACTTGGAGCTCACGTAAATTTCCTTATACAAGCGTCAATTTGAATTTTATTACATGATGTTATTTATTGATCGAGGAAGTCGTTCGTGTACAACGTGGCAAGTACAGTATCATATAAGATCGGCACTGGCCTGCGGGAGTTGATCGCTCAATACAAGTAACATACACCGGACGTCATTTCATTTAGATCATGAGTTCATGACTCATAAAATTACCTTGACTTTTACAATTATTTCATTTGTGTCTTTTTTCATACTTCATATTCTTTACGCACAAATTTTGAACATGCAACATATATAAAAATAGATCCAAAACGCTAAACATGGAATGAAGTCAATTTGTACAGTGATAATGCCTATTTATTAACGGATTCGTAACATTATTTGGGTTTCGCTCGTCCACTCTCGAGTAGATTTCAGTTTATTCATAATACGGGAGTGACTTTGACTTCCGGATATTCCAATATAATCATAGCGAAAACAGTAATGTCAACGAGATTCAATGGGAACGCGCTCTCGGATGGAAAATTAAATTGATTACGACCACGTAACCGATATCAATAGAGATAAAACTTAGCCTCTGCGTTGAACGAAAAATTTTAACTCTCGGGAAACCATTTAATCATATGTTCTTGACGTGTATCCAGTGAACACAAAGCACCCGTGCTTCCAGTTTTCGTTTAGCTAGCTGTCTGCAGAGATTAGCTGCCAATACACAGTACAGTACGTGTGCACATCGCCTTACAAAAACAAAGCATTAGCAACGAAACACATTTTAGCTAAATCTGGTTGTAAACTGTAGTGAATCACTTGCGAGTAACACAAAACTCGGTCCAACTACAAATAGAGATGAACAAAAGTCGAGTGATGCTGCTAGGTGTGCTGCGAGTTGTGGATGTTCCCGTGGACATGTTGCGGGGGGTGTCCGGGGGGCGGGAGGTAGTGCCAGTAGGGGGGCGCGTCCGGAGCCTGCGCCTGGCACGCCGCGGTCAGACCCGCCCAACTGAACCTGTACGCGTAGCGCTTCCCGTGTACCTGCGCCCGGGAAATTTACACAAATAAATACGGATATGTTCGACGACGGCATACATGGCTTGTAGGAGCTCGCAGATTTTAGCCACTTTAGCTACCGTTCATTCCTACAAATGTTTAGTTCAGTGATTAACAACGCTAAAGATTTGACTACTGTTTCTCTACAATCAATTTTATCTATTAGCTATAATGTATTTTTTTGTTGTTGCTTTACTGAGTGGACGAGCTCACAGCCCACCTGGTGTTAAGTGGTAACTGGATCTCATAGACAACTACAACGTAAATGCGCCACCCACCTTGAGATATAAGTTCTAAGGTCACAGTATAGTCACAACTTACTTTACTACTAGTAGAAGTTACACAGAAACTAGAGATTGTAAAGCACTTAACAGACCTATTCTATTAAGTGTTTTCAATTAGAAACATAAGTATATATCGGCGACTAGTATCCGAAGACGACATTTTAAAACGACCATGTGTATGAGTGCAGTTTAACGTTTAGATCGAAATAGGCAAGCGACTCTGCGTCGGAGGGAGGCGCTACAGTACCCTGCGGTACAGGACATCTCACCTTGCTCATGATGTTCTTATCATAATAGTACCGCAGCGCTCGCGATAGTTTGTCGTAGTTCATGTTGGGTTTCTGTTTGCGCCGGCCCCAGCGCCGCGCCACCTCATCCGGATCCGACAGGCGGAACTCTCCATCACCAGGGGGACCCTGAGGGACAAGATATTGGACATCTTAATTATTATACCACAATTATCTGGTGTTCTGCGCAATTCAAGAAGGAGAATGACATAAAGAATTTCCAACGTAATACCTATGCTTATTATTGTTTTATGTTGGGCGGCTTCTCTTGTACTCCAGTCATAGTAAGATATTTAACAAAGAAGATACCTCCCAACAGATCCCAGGAGCTCCTGCAGCCAGCTCCTCCAGCAGGAACTGCCAGAGCTGCACCTGTCCTCCTCCAGCGCGTGCACTCAGAGCCGCATACCCATCTGAAACTCAACTGCTCTTTACATTTACGCTGCCTGCACAATGTACTGTACCAGCACTGGCCTCGTGACGGCCGACAGCGTGATGCCATTGTCGGCTTTGAGAAATGAGATCGAAATCTGTTTTTTATTGGAATTTTAAACTGAAACGCATTCATGTTTCACGGCCGTTTAAGCAGGTAGGTAGTAGCAGCCACTTTCTCACTGACGCGAGAGGCGTCATGATAATCGCCTTATCGTTGCCGCTGACTACTCCCCGAATCCTGATCACGCAGGAGCCAATCACCGCCGACGCCCTAGACACGTCCTTACAGATCCATCAGATCCAATAAGCTTTGCATTAGACACCTTTAAGAGTAGGGACCCCGGTAACCGTACACGTCGAACTCGGCAAAGAGTTCGACATGCAACCTAACCTAAGCATCAGCCTGTTGAGTTTCTCGCCGGATCTTCTCAGCGGGTCGCGATTCCGATCCGGTAGTAGATTTGTTCGCGGAGTAGCTACTCTTGAGTTGTTAGGTCTCCTTTGGAGGCGCTCGGGCAGTTGTTAGCAAATCCCACCCCTCCTGGCTGAGCTTAGAAACCTCGAGTGCTTTATTTAGTACTTTTTTGTATAGCCTAGAAAACTTTTTTATAAACCTTAATTAATCAATCAAACAAAAGACATGTCGCTCGAAGCAAAAGGAAGATTCAAATGAACCGAAGTATTCCTTGATAAAACTCATAGCGTTAAAAAAAAAATTATTTTATTTTATTTAATGTTATTATCTAATAACTAGGTGTACATGTGATGAAATTGAAATAAAATTGTTGTACCGGAAACATCATACTGCTCTGTCAAAAAAGTACCAGGAGAAGAACAATAATACACAAGAGTATGCTCTTTCAAAAACGATATACACCTACGCCAACGAATAATCGAATCATCAAAACATTTTTTAAGCGCTTTTTCCGGACTTGAGTTCACTTCCCGCTGCGAATTCTCTTATAAGATCTCTATCGAATGAAAACGGGTGCTGCGAAGTGCTAATTTGAGTTTAAGAAAAAGAAAGAATTCGGCTGGAGCAATATCTGGTGAATAAGGTGGTTACTACATGGTATTTGTTCAGTTTTTGGTCAAAAATTTATTCGCAATGATGGCCTTGTGCGAAGGCGTATTATCGTGCTGCCACCACTTCCAAGACTTCTCTTTCCTCAAGTCTGGCTTTTTTCGTCGAATTTGCTATCTTAAACGCCGCATTACGCTCAAATAATATTCTTCATTTATCGTTTGATCTTCCAACAAGAATTTTGAGTGCACAACACCGCGATAGTAAAAAAAAACACTCAACATTCAGTTTTCATTTTTGATCGACTCTGGCGTGTTTCTTTCGGTTTTGGTTCAGTTGAAAGGCGCCACTTCAAAGACTAACTAGTTTTCATGTCACACTCGTAAATCCGCGTCTCACCGCCGGTAACAATGTGTTTCATGAATGTTGTGTGGGAATCGAATCGTTCTACCATGTTCTCAGCGATTCTTATGAGATTGAGTTTTTGGAGAAAATTCAGGTGCTTTAAAGCAGCATGTTTCACATCCAAGTGATTATTTAAAATGGTACGGACTACTCGTGAAATATAGAAAGCTTGGCGGCTATCTTTCTCAAATTTGAATGAGAAGTTTCAATCCCTATTTATTTCACTTTTGCGATGTTAATTCCAGTTTACTGGTAGGACCTCTTGTGAGTCCGCCCGGGTAGGTTGTGAGTCCACTCGAGTAGGTACCACCACCCTACCTATTTGTGCCGTGAAACAGTAATGCGTTTCGGTTTGAAGGGCGGGGTAGCCGTTGTAACTATACTTGAGACCTTAGAACTTATATCTCAAGGTGGGTAATTTACGTTGTAGATGTCTATGGGCTCCAGTAACCACTTAACACTAGGTGGGCCGTGAGCTCGTCCACCCACGTAAGGGTATAAAAAAATTACGAAAATGTTCAAGGTAGGACAAGGTAGGATTAAGCAGTAGGACGAACACACAAAAATGAATCATTATTGAATAGAATATTTTTTTGTAATAAAATAGCAAACAAGGTGGTAATGTCTGACCGTGGTAGAAGTGCTGGAGGCGTCTGTGCTCCGTCGTGCCCAGCCACAGCATCGCCGGGCTATTTCACACTTAGCATCATTAGACCCATGTCGTATATATTTCTTGACTATTCTCATCAGTATTTTAATGTCACATTTTGCCGCAACGAACTCACATTTTGATTTATTTGGTTTAAATTTAATAATCACTTCACTTAATTTTTTGTAATAACATTACTTTTGTTTTTAAATATATTTGAATGGATTTGTTTCACGTCACTCAACTATATTTATAATTATAAAATTGTATGAATTTTTGAAACCTTTTTATTGAAATGTCTTAACATAAAAGCAGAAGTCCATTAATTGTCTTGTATACAGATAGACAAACACAAAACAATTAAGTATCACATTTTCTACTCAAGATAAGAAAAAGGAGATCGTGTGAACGTCAAATGTTTTTTGAGGAGATTGTTTTGTTTGATGGGTATTGATGGCGTAAGGAAAACTACTTTTACGGCTGCAGCTCGCGTCTGTAATTATCATTTCACGTTTAAGTCTACGACTCGTGAAGACTAATGTAATGCGGTTGTGAGTTGTGAATAAAATAATTGGAAATATTTAGATTATTTCTTCCGAGTTTTAATCACGAAACAAATGAATGATAAAATAATAAACCTAGAGACGTCAGTGATTGTGATCGAATGTCGATGACTGGGCGAACACTAATAGGTAATCATAAATAAACGTTACACATTCACACGACCCGAAGTTATGAATTTCTCCTGCGTTATATGTGCCGGAACTACACGTACGTGACAACAACAATGTTACGTTACATTTTGAATGTGTTTAAAATAATTTTATGATTCACTGTCGCCTAAGCTTCACTCATTAAGACGTTTCTATTAATTACAGTAGGTACTTGGGAATATCGATTAAACTATCGAAGTATAAATATTCAGCGCGTACACGTGAAGGTTACTGTTTAGAGTTTATAATTTAAAAATTTAACTGTTCAAGTTTATTAGTTACAGTGAAGACCGATTTCAAAAGCACAGAATCTGAGTCGTGAGTAATCCGGATGTGCGGCCGGATGCGACACCGGAAGCGGACGAGTGAGGACGAGTGCTGCGACACACCATTGCGACCCCCTACCATCTACCACCTACCCCCTCCCACTACCCTCTCGTCCGGACTCAACTGAAATCCTTAAGATTTTGTGCTCTATATAATAATATATCATTAGTGAGTGTTTAATTTATTAAAAACTAGCGACCCGCCCTCGCTTCGCTTCGGAAACTGTAATTTATTATTGATTTCTCCACTATTTAATGGATGTTATTATACATATAAACCTTCCTCTTCAATCACTTTATCTATTAAAAAAACCGCATCAAAATCCGGTGCGGAGTTTTAAAGATTTAAGCATACATAGGGACAGAGAAAGCGACTTTGTTTTATACTATGTAGTGATAGTGATAATAAGGGTTACATTTTTATTACATATTTACACTGTCAATAACGCATTGGCCTACTGGTAACGTTTATAATACCTCCGATGTCTGACAAACCTTGACCCACTTGATCTTTAGTAAGTTTATCGTCGCTCGCAAATACCGCTAATGACAGGAACACTGACAAGCCGCTTGCATGTGACTAAATTATGTTAAAGTAAGCCAAACAATTTTACAGTTAAAAAATGCTAAAACAAAAAAATATATACTTATGGAGGAGTATGAAATTTCCCACACTTATAGAGAATATAGTGAAGGAGTGCAGAATGGTATTTTTTTTTAAATTATGCATAAAAATACATTAAGTCAATAAAAAAAACATTACACACACTACCATGTATTTGACACATACACATATGTATACTCTATGTTTATTGTTAAGCTTTTGTTGCTTATAGTCTGTGGTCAAATTGAGAATATATTAAATATTGTTTGTCTTTGTTCATATTTGTCTAAAGTGATATGTGGTCCTAGCGAAATCTGTGAAAAAGTAGAATTCTTTGAAGTAGAAGTCTTTGACAATAGAATCATAATAGTGTATATAGAAACTTATAATTTCAAATAATTATTGTCGAATTTCGACTACCGGGGGACACACTAGTAGCAGATAAATGAGCGTATATGACATTGTATAATAAGGATACACTGTTTCAGAAAAGCCATTTGAACCGGCGACATCTTACATGAAAGGCACGAAGGATCACCGAGCTAAATGCGCACTGTATTAAAATATTCCCTGTCTACCCTATAATCGAAGTAGCTTGGACTCGCAAGACAAGTAAATCACAGTTGATTTAATTAAGCGTAAAGCCAGTGTTCGGGGCGGCGTGTCGGCCGCGGTAATCCACCCCTTGATGCCTTACCCTCGCCTACACGCCGGGGTGAAGAGTCGGGCTTAGCCTCACATGTAACTATAACAATTTAACGCGTCCGTGACCCGGCGCCGCGGCGGGATCGAGCGTCTCAACGAACAGATTACGAGTTCGAAACTAAGTACCTATGTATATACTATACTTAAAAATACGAAATTAATTTTCAGTTTTACCGAAAGTCGTAGTGTACCTAATGTGAAATATGTTCAGAAGTGGTCACGGTTGGCTATTAGCAACATGTTGACATTAACATGAGTTCGCGCGTACCAGAACTGCTTTTTAATTATTATGAGATTTAGGAGACGTCTTTAGAGAAGCCTTCGTTGCAGATACCATATATTGTTATAGATACTACACCGCCACCGCGGCACCGGTCACGTTGAGATGAAGCGTATTTTCTCATCAAAGTAAGCCGCCCCTAATCCGAAGCAAAGTTTGAAAGGGTAAAGTTTATTACGCTGTTTAATAAGTTGCAAACGATTTTTTTAATAAACGAACTCGATCCATAATGTATGCGGTAGATAGCATCGCATGCATAATGCAGTAGTGTC